GAAATAATTTGCTAAGAACGAGTACGTTTATAATGATGTATTTAAAACTACATTTTGAAAAATGGCATCAAAGTACCTTAAAAAGTTTGTTTTTGTATTTTAGAAATTATTTTATAACTAGTGACTCACCCTCGCTCCACTCGGGTTCGTCCCTACTTACGTTTTAACGTTTAGTATAGACTTCTCAGAGATGAGATATTTTCCCGCAGTAAAAATTATCCTATATTATGTTTCATCAAAATCCCTCAAGTGGGTTTTCTGTGATGCAGTAACAGACAGACAGACAAAAATTCTAAAAACTATAAATTCGGCCTCTGTATCGATAATAATGACTATTTCAATAAATACTTAACGTACAGATTCCCGTACAGATCCCGCCTTAGCCATCTTAACCTTTTTTTTACCGTTGGGAAATGCATTTACGCACGAGGTGTGGGACTCACCGGCAAAGCCAGTACTACCCACTAAAACCCAATAAAACCTTCCCCCGTCTTAATGGGGCGTCGCAGGATCGCTTACGCATTCAACTACGACACCCCGACGGCAGGTCTGCCGAGGCAGACCACAACGACCATGGGATTGCTCCAAAGTCCACTCTGCTATCAGAGAAGTACCAGGAGCAACCCGCATGCTACACCGCCCTCCGAAGAGGGCCACCTCCTACCGCCCACCGAAGTGGGCCACCTCCCTGTGCGTTTCTTGGCTTCGCGCCCGGCTGTATTGCTAGGCACTACTGAGCCCACCACGACAAGGTGAATGCACGCACTTACCCGAAAATAAATGATACACTTACTACTTACCTATATTAAAAAAATAGTCTAATTATGTTTATAAACTGCATGAGTACACTTAGAACACTAAGAACACTTAAAACTATTGAAACTATAGTAATACTATTTACTATTATATAATAAAACAAAAAACTAGAAACGAACTCATAGGAAAATTAACAAAAACTTATAACTACTGGAAAATAATATGAGACAAATAACTACGAAATAGAGAAAAAAATATGAAAACCCAAACGCGTTTAATGAGTACAGATCGAATTCACATAAACTATCGAACTTCGCGGTATTTTACTACCCGCCGAAAATAATGTAAAGTATTCACAGATAATAAAATCAAATAATGGTTTAAATTTTTTTGTTAAATGTAAATTAATTATATAATTCAATATTTTACATAAATCAAATAAAAACTCGTAAAGCATGCATGATGATGATGATGATGCATGATATTTCTATTCTTATATTTATTGTATTTTAATTTAATATTGTATCTCGTACTAATTTTCTACTTAAATTTTCCTATACTATTTAATTATTATCACAACCGAGAGACCCACTGCTTCACACAGGGAGACCCCCTAATTTTTTTTTCTAAATGAACTTACATCTTCCAATCACTTTCCCTTTGACTATTAAAGGATTTATTACATAATAACCTATAAAAAGTCTAAATATCAATATCCTACTATGAATATATTTCTTACTTTTAAAATGGCAATTTTTCCTATTTTACATTATTATAAATATCAATTCATCAAAATAAGGATATTTTTTTATCCCCATAGAATGTACTTACTACCTGCAACTTTAATTTTTTAGTTAGAAAAAAATATAATTTCCAATTTTGAACAATGTGAGTTGTGACTTTAATTAAAAAATAACGGATTTTCATACAAACTTCAATTATTTCGTATAAGAATATACCTGAGTGAGAGAGTGAGGTTGAGTGGTTCACGATAATCAATCAGTGCTTATTTTTTATTATATAACCTCCAGGTAAATTTCTAAGAAATTAATTAAAATTCTAAAAAATCTATTGTTAACTAACACGACGGTGTGTCCGCGGTCGTGGAGGGATTAAATAGCTATGAAATAGTTCAAGCATAGTATAAAATAATTATAAGACATAGATATATAAGAAGAACTAAACGGTTCAATCGTGAAAATGACAAATAAACATAAAACACTTTCGCATTAATATATTAATGAAGATCTATACTTAATTCGTTGAACCCCAAAAAACTAAGACCAAAACGAAACAAAGTATGAAAATTGTCGAGACAATAGAAACCGCGCCACGGAAGTTTGTTGGCTCGAAAGTCAAACAATGCATTCATTATTCCATTACTTAATGAACCGACGAAACGCGAGATTTTATAAAGTGAGAATACTATTTATTTAACTACATTAATTAACGTTTTATTTACAATATATGCAAATTTATTTAAAATTCAACATTTTATTTAAACGGGACTTTTCAATACATTTTAAATTAACTTGAGTATATATTATTAATAAAGTATGTTCATCTTGCCCTATTGCAAAAATCGCTCAGCTATGAGATGTCCTGGCGTCATGACGGTATGCGAAAGCGATCTTATAGCAATCTGCTAAATGCTAATACAATGAGGTTATATATACATACTTATGTAGGAGTTTTAGTAAGTCCCATGTACTCTGCTTGGATGAGAACAGGTGGTGTGCGTATATCGATACATTTGCTAGCGGTAAAAAAGAAAAAAAAAAGAAGTAAGTTAAGTAATTCAAAGTCTACGTTTTACTTTTAATGATTTATATAAATAATTAGTAATAGATTGAGTAAAAATATTTAGTAGTGCACATTAAAACAACCTATCTTCATTAAGTATCGTATTTTTATACGATGTTAAAAATAATTTTGTAAACAAACTTCAATGTACCCTGCTAAAACTGCTGTAATTATGTGTACTGTTTAGATTACAAGTTAGAGTAATTTCAAACTCGCGCCATCATTGTTTCATCCTTGTTGTTTTATTTAATATTTACATGAAAATTCATGACAAACAAACTAATTTAATTTCTATATTCTTTATTCCCTCCATAGAATAGTCTAAAAACTGTAGGCCGACATTAAAAAAGGTCTTCAGTAGGCTAAAGCCTAAAGACCTTTTTTGATAGAAAAAAAAAAAAAAACATCTGGATTTTAACAAAGGCGCCACATAACGGGTCTAACTATATGTAATACCTATTAAAAAACAGGTGTCTTCATAAGTACAAAATATATATCGAAGTCGCTTATATAGGAACAAAAAAATTACGAAAACACTACACAGCGCGGATACTGCAATTTTATGTTCATAATAATTATATGTATGAAAATACATAATTCCCTCAACATAACCTCGCAATTTATATATTCTATACGTATAATAAAATTCTAAATCGAATATTAAATATATTTTTTGGAAAATCTTATTGATATAGTCATTTCAATTATTATCGATACAGAGGCCAAATCTATAGTTTTTAGAATGTTTGTATGTCTGGTTTGGTTGGTTTGGTTTGGATGAAATTTGGTATGATGATAGCTGGTTACCCGGGTCAACTTATAGAATACTTTTTACTGCGCAAAAATATCTCATCTCTGAGAAATCTGTACTAAACATTAAAACGTAAGCAGGGACGAACCCTAGCGGAGTGAGGGTGAGTCGCTAGTCTATTTATATAGTTCATGTTGATGTACATAGAGAAAGCCAAAACGGTGGCTAGTGTAATAAATAATTTGTTGTAACGTGGCGTAAGTCAAACAATGCATTCATTATTCCATTACTTAATGAACCAACGTCCCGCTGCGAAATTTTAATAAAGTGGGAATTACTACTTAATGAATTGGCGTCACGGCTTTAGACTCATAAAGCGATATTATAAGCTGAAACCAGAAAATTGAAATTTTCAGTGCGTTTACACCACAAAAACGGTCGTTTCGCAATAAATTTCGTATCTGTGAAAAGAGAATATTCTAACAGATTAAGCTATATAAAGTTACGTACACCGATTTAGGTTACATAGGTATTTTGTAAATACCTAATATATAAAACATAGTTGATTACTGGGTTTTTTCTTGAATAAAATATTATCAGCTTTAATGAAAAATGGTCTTGTAATTCTATAAAATATGAATAAAACTGTGTACATGTAAGAAAATTGACATCATGTTTTAATTTTAATTGTTGTGAGATTGTAGGGGGTAATCTCTGGATCTACTGAATCTATTTAGATGAAATTCGGTAAGAAGATATTTTGAGACCCTAGGAAGGACATCGGATACTTTTTATCCCGGAAATCATCAGAGATTAAAGTTTGTATTGGGAATCAATCTAGGGATCAGCCCGAGTGAAGCAAGGGTGAGTCGCTAGTGTTGGATAAACTTATAAACTATTTTGTCACAAATCTAAGAAATATGTATATTTTGTCAAAAAATTTATACCTAATAAATAATAACGAATAATCGAATGAGTTAAAAGTTAAAAGTTTAAACGAAAATGTAGGTACTCCTGTATGTTCATCGTTTGTTAGGCCGTGTCCTGATTCTAATTGCCTACTCTAATGCATCTAAATGCGACGTGTCCGACCTTTCAACATGTCTCGCCGAGAACAATCAGGCGAACAGTCAATATATTAGCATAACTTCACTCTTCTTTCAATAAACGAGTTACGGTTGTAAAATTTGATAAAGCTATATAACTTCATTATAAGTTATTATTCTATTACACTTTGATTTTCTAAAAAAATTAGATGACTTCGTCATTCGGGATTACGAATGCCCGAGGATTATTCAAGATTATTTGACTTGGGTGCCAAAAATCGACAAGGAGCCGAGAACAGATGTCACCGAGACAATGAAGCGATGCTTTTATTCTAGGGATGTCTTGGGGTATTACGGCGATAGTGTACAGTCACCTATGTTATCTGTAGTAATTTTATACTTAGAAATTTTTGAACTAGCGACATTTTAATTTTAACGTCGTCATGACATTTTTGTTTCATTTTTAATTTTTATTGATAGTTTTACGCGCCAATTCAATTTTATTACATTTTCTGGAGCGTATTTAAAATATGATGTCAAGTTACTAAAGTGTCTTAATTAAATATTTAAAAACAAATTTATATAAATAAATATTTAAATAACACATCTATTCAATATTTATTGTCATGTCGAATATAAAACGTATGGCTAGTGCGGTACGTGCGACTAATAAAAGACCTTTTAGAGTATCTATTGAAGGAAACATAGGATCTGGAAAATCAACATGTATCAAGTATTTTGATAAATATCCTAATGTTGAAAAGCATGCGGTAAGTAAGTGAACATAATGCCAATGAATTCTACAAATTTTCATGCCTAACCCACTTTTGTTTATTCTTAAGCAGTTATGTATAGCATTTTGTAAAAACCTATTTCAGGAACCTATAGCGGAATGGCGCAACGTCAGCGGTCATAACCTACTCGGTCTCATGTATAGTGACATGAATGAGTGGACCTTCGCCTTCCAACATTATGTGCACCTCAGTCGTCTCAAAATACAAACAAGCCCACCATGTAACCCATCGATTACTGTAAAAATGTTTGAAAGGTACTTAGAACAGTACAAGATTAGTAATTTAAATCAATACAAAAATGACATAACCTACACTTGTGATATATTTCAAAAACAATCAAATCAGTTTAATTTTAAAATATGACTTACACATAATGTACTACTAACCTAGTACCTATACCTGTACCCAGTATTAGTATAATAAGTTAATGTTATAAATCCCATAAATATTATAAATGCGAAAAATTTGAATGGATGTATGTTTATTACTCTAATCACACTAGAACTACTGAATGGATCTGAATGAAATTTAGCACAGAGATTGATTATAGTCTGGAATAATACCTAGATTTACTTTTTATCCCTTTTTAATATTGTTATATCCCTTATTAACCACTTTTTAATAGTTACAATGTACCTAGGAACAAACCCTAGCAAAGTGTGGGTGAGTCGCTAATATACTTTATAATCTCAATATTTTTCTATCATAAAATCATTAAGTTTAGATTTTTGCATGCCATTACAAAATTCATATTTTATAGAAACTTTATAGAGAATCAGGTGCTTAAATGCATAAAAATCTTAGACTTTAAAAAAATTTCTTAGATTAAATTAAAAGCTAAATATAAAACATTTTCAGATCTGTTCAAAACAGCAGGCACTGTTTTGTGGAGAATGCAAAAAAACAAGATTTTCTTAAAGATCCTGAATACCATGTCTTACTGGAGTGGTTTGATTATACTGAGAAATACTTAGATATCAGCTTAGATCTCATAGGTGAGGAAATGAAATATAGCTTTCTATTAAATTATATGAATACAAAGTATAAACCTAATATTATTTTTTTGTATATAATTTTTCAGTATATTTAAGAACAACACCAAAAACAGTGTGGGAGAGAATAATGAAACGAGGCAGAGCTGAGGAGTCTGAGGTGCCTTTGGAATATTTACAACAAGTTAGTATTTACACATTTCAGTTTTTTGCTTATTGGTTTTTATTCCATGTTTTCCAATTCCATTCTAAAGAAAAATGACTACATTATTATACTTTACAATATAAAATCTTTTTCCTCTATTTTAAAAACAAAGCATCATTTCTAAGGTTATGTACATTCATATAGATAAAAAAATACTCCATTTTTACTTTTTTGAAGTAAAATGTGTATTATATTGTACTAGTAAAATTGACATATGAAAGTCAATAATTCTTTAAACTCTTTTGGTAAATTGGTTACTTGGATAAATAAGAGGGTATTAAACCATATTTTTTGTTTAAAAATTATAAAAACTGATTTTCAATACAATTTATTTTATAATTGTATTAAGCCCTTTTTACCGTCCCACTGCTGGGGGTGGGCCTCTCTTCAATACGAGGGGAATCAGGCCATAGCCCACCACGTTAGCCAAGTGCGGGTAGGTGGACTTCACATGTCTTTCGACAACTTGATAGGTTCTCTCAGACATGTAGGTTTCCTCACGATGTTTTCTTTATATATAGAAAATATCAGAGATGCGAGACCCGGGATTTGAACCCGCTTCACTCGATTTCCCAAACGAGTGTGTTACCATTGGGATACCACTGCCTTTTTGTTTTATAATATTGTTTTATTATAAGCATGAATCAATCTATCCAGGTGCACGAATCTTATGAAAACTGGCTCAGTTCCCCTGACGTTGGCTGTGAAGTGCTGACGATTGACGCCAATAAGGACTTAGATGCTGTTAAGGAAGACTTAGAGAGGTACAGCTATAAGATATTAGGAGGCAATCACACTAATTAATATAAAATTAGATTATTTAGGGCTAATATTTTAATTAAAAGATACAAGTTATCTAAATAACGAAATATGTAGGAATGAATTTGTTTTTGCTGTCTGTCCTTAAATTATAAATTAGGTAATAAAAATTGTCACGAGTACTAGGGTATCATAAACATCAAACGTCTTATATTGTACATGTTGAAGCTCATAAGAAATGCCTGCACAGAGTGCACACGATATTCTTGCAACACTCGATTTACATTAGAGGCACTAGGGGCTAGTGCCCAGGGCGGTAAATTTTTAGGGGCAAAATTCGGAGGGTGGGAAAAGAAAATCCTCTTCACGTTGTCGAAAATGCTTTTTTTTATTTTACAAAAAATACTCAAATACTCAATAAAAAAAGGTGCATGGTTCTGTGACACGATGTATTAAATATATTTAAAGATAAAAAACTTTTTTTTCTATGCTATATCTATATATATAACATAATGAATAATGATCTTAAATTATTTAGTACTAAATACGGGTATTTGTTTATCTCCAAAATATAAATATGATATTACATGAATAGTATTTAAAGGAAAAAGAAATGACTAAATCTGTTGATTTATTAAAATTATGTTGAAATCTAAAATAATAGTTTTTTGTATTGCAATAAATGTTTATATTATCCTTGTGTTTTAAATATAAAAATTGTTTTATATTGATTAATTTAAATTGATGTTATAACTTATTTTGAAAGGCTATGATTTATTATGGTATTAAAATTTGACTGAAATTGTTTAAAATTCTACAATAAAATATAGTAAAACACAATAATTATTGATTAATTATTGTTATTATAAACAAATAAATATTTTGAAATGATAATGCTAAAACTCTTTTTAACACCTTCTCCTTATACACATAAAACTATATACTATAAATATAAAATAATTTTACTTTTTAATATTAAAAAAAATGGAAACACATTTTACTTTCTATGAAGGTTTAAGAGAAATATAAAAAACAAACGAAATACAAAATTAAAACAAATGTATTTTACATATGTTGTTTATTTATCACATAAATTAATAATCCTAATAGAGAATCAATTGATTCTAATTTATTTACATTAACACCAGCTCTACAAATCAAGTTGTGTTCTAATGATTTAGATCTTAGCCTATGAATCTGCAAATTGCAAAATACATAAAAGTACTGAGTTTTTTTAACAATTTCTCCATTCAGAAACAGTTAAAGGTAATAAGCCATTCAGCCTCATAGATAAAATAGGCAAAAGTAACAATTTATTCCTAATAATCTTCAAATATGTAGAGCTAGTATAAAGTATTTTAACGATAGAGATGATCTGCCCTAATGTTAGACGCAATCTCGCTTTCCCATTTGTCACCGTTGGAAAGTAGTTTTTCCTTGTTGTACAAAAGTTCTTCGTGAGTTTCCGTCGAGAACTCAAAGTTGGGGCCTTCAACTATGGCGTCTACTGGGCATGCCTCCTGTTGATGGAAAAATAGTTTATGTACTTTATTTAATTTTATGCTCATCTTATTTCATAAAATTATCACCTCTACGATCTGGCCGTAACATATACACCACATAACAATATGTGTCACTTTAATTAAAATTATTCTTATATTTTTATTAAATTTATTAAGATTTAATTCTACAACTATAAGCATTAATTATTAGTCATATATGTTGAATTTAAAAAATGTTTATATTGACTCTCAAAATCCCTGAAATCTGGTGTGTTTTCATTTACTCATAAACTGCTTTTATTCAAACCGAAATTAAATAAAATAACAGGTAGAAGGAAAAAATATTTAAACTATAGGGAATGCCAAAAATGCCATAAGGAGTGATACTTATCACTTCTTAAATTTCGAAATTAAGCTGTCATTATTACTATCTGCCAACGACAAAAAGGTTGCAAATTTGACTTACCCTATAAAGTCAATATTTCATTAAAAAAATAATTACCCACATTAATTATCTCAATTTTAGAATAAAATATCCTCTTGTTTTAGGAAAGAATACAAAGCTACACATAAATATAATTCCGACGAATTAAAAACCTCCTTTTTGGAAGTTGGTTAAAAATGGTATTTCAGTGTCTTTAGCAATACCTGATTATCAAAATTAATATTTCTTTGTTTTTATGTTTCTTTGTAAGAAAAATTTACCTGGCAGAATCCACAATAAATACATTTGGTCATGTCAATATCATATCTGGTGGTTCTGCGGGAGCCATCCTTGCGCTCTTCTGCTTCAATGGTAATAGCCTATGAGGAAAGATTGAGTAAATTTAAATATCTACTAATAATAAAAATCTTTAATTTATTCACAAAAAGATAATATAGTTTAAGTACTGGGTCTGGAAAAATAAGAATTTTTATATAATACCAGTGACTCTACCTCGCTTCGCTGAGATTCATCCCTGGGTATGTTTTAACAGTTAGTATGGAATATATAAATATATACATAGGTATGATGAATTATTATGGGTTGTAATATAATGTATTCTCCTGTATGAACCATGAATGAAATAATCTCCCGCAGTAAAAAGTAGCCTAAATAACATATCATTCTCCAACCCTCGCAACAGTTTCATCATCTCACCAAAACTCGCACCAATCCGTCACTATTATGACGTAAAAAAGGGTAAACAAACATACTTTCATTTTTATTAAATGAAAAGTATGGATTTCAATAGAACAATGAGAAATCTTTTATCTGTACTATTATTATTAAAAGGAATAATTTTGTTTATCTAAATAATAAAATCAGAAGTTACTAAATTGAATTTAACAATTTTTTCATTGATAGATATTTGTGTGCTATTGGCTAAATTATATATTGTGTATTGTGTGCCATAACTGAGCTATATAAATTTTACATCAGTAGAAGTAAAAAAAAATGTACTGAGTTCAAATTAGACATTTTTATTTAATGAAATTTTGTTTTTAAAAATAAGATGAAATAGTACTTAAAATCAGGGAAGTAGGTGATATTTTTTTTTAGACGAGTACCTGAGCTGGGCCTCATGCTGAAAGCCCAATAGTGCGACAAAAAAGGCTGAATACAATACCTGAGCTGGGCAAATAGCTTCACATAATTTGCAAGCAATACATCTCTCTTCACCAGAGGGATATCTACGCAATGCATGCTCGCCTCTAAACCTGGGTGATAAAGGTCCTTTCTCAAATGGATAGTTAATTGTTGCCGGCTCCTGCAATATATAATTTATTACAAAAATCAATACTTACAACAAACTGAATTTCAATCCAAGTAAGCTACTTGAACTCTTAAAGACATTTACAGATTTCTTTGTTTGTATATGTATGTAAATAAATGTGATAAAAATTGTTTAGAATAACACAAAATGTATAATTTATTGAACTTCTCAAAGCAAGAACCTTGTACCCCAACATGCATATATTTTTATTTAAAAAACAATGATATACTGTACCTTGAAAATATGAGCTAAAGTAACAGCAAAGCCTCTAGCCAGTTCAGTCCAGAATAAAGTTTGAGCAGCCCTATTGGTCATTTCCTTAAAACTCATATCTGGATCTTCTGCATTCACATATTTGAAGCCTGGTACATTTGGAGGATACACTTTTTCAGTTTTTCCTTCCTGACTAGAACTAGCATGTCGTACGAGCATACCACTAGCTCCCGATGCACGAACTGAAAATGTTTTAATAGAATAAATAATATCTAGTTCAATAAATAAATACAATAAGTTAGTTGGTCAAAAATCATGCAACGTTTGTAAGCATACATGCATGTAATTAAAATAAGAAGAAATAATGTATTGCGTATTATTTGAGTTATTTACTATTATTTATATTTAAAAATAGGTTATAAACATAGTTGCGTAACTAACGCTATTTTCTTAATCTTAGTAAATAAAAAAAATTAAAAGCTCAAAGTTATATAATGCAAAAGTATTTACCTCGTGTGGACAGAGAAAATATTTTTACTAAGGACATATTTAATGTTTTTATTCTGAAATATTGCGATTTGAAATTTCTATAGTTTGAAAGTCAGAATTCAGAATTGCTGTCATGGATGACAAATAAAATTTCTGTCAATTCAAAATGTCAGTGACTAATAAAGTTTGACAACATAATAATAACCTTGATAGTCGTAGTAAAAATATTTGTAAATACTTTTATTGTAAAGTTGTAAGAATTCTGATAAAAAATAACCCCTAAGTGGATAAAATAAGGGATTATAGATTGTATGAAACTCATTCTTAATGTGTGTGATGTTTAGCTTTAGGATAATAAAGAAATCTATTAATATTGACCTTTAGGCGATTTAAAAGTTTTAAAATCACTTTCTTTAATATGATGTCTACATAGCCTTAAATATAAAGATTGGGATTTCGCTAATTTTGGTCGTCTTATTGCATTAGCCCACAATTTCTTCAGTTTTTGTCTTTTGGGAGCAAATGATATTCATTTTCTTTTCATCTTGACACTGCACAATTTGTCATTTTAATTAAATTTTAAATAAAATGAAAAAAAAAACCATCCACGATATAGAGCTTTACAATACACTGAGGTTATAGTGATCGCGACATCTGGCGGGAGAAAAAGGCAATATTCTTCCCTATTATAACCACAAATACAAAATGTGAATCTGTGAAATGTAAATTACGTAGTATGTCTTACTAATCTGTGGTGTGAATCCATTCTAACCAATTCTAACGTCAAAACATTGGACTTGGAGTGACGTTTACAAATTTTCGTCGCTGTGTCGTAAATTTGCAAATATTCGCCACGCAGAATGGGAGATGAGCCGGCATCAGAAATGGACTCTAACAAACCAAGTCCAGGGAGCGAAGCTCCGCCCGAACTGGTAAAATTAATTTCCCTCTGCTTATTCCTATAATATTTTAATGATGTTGATAAAAGTTTATGGCTTTTGTTAGGACCGGCAACCGTTCGGTGGATTGGAATTCCAAGTTTCAGAGGTAGTCGGAAGATTAGAAGCTGGTGTGAATGCTCAGGATGTAGACGAAGAGGAGAGGAAGCCTGAAATTCGAAAAATAAGTACGGGGTTTTTTGAACCTGAAGAATTATCAATGGATGAGATTTTAAAAGTTTTAGAAGATCTCGTGATTAAGACTGATCCCAGCTGTGAGAGTATGGAACCCCCTTTATTGCCTACGGACGCTGTGACAAGGGCAGCTATCCTATCTCACAGCATCACTGCTCTATTTGCCAGACTTGACAGAAGTCATGCTGCAAGACTTGGTGCTCATATAGCAAGTGAAACGACACGTTGGATGTCACATATGTTCAGGTATTAACAGTTCTGCATTATCTAATATTTTATGAAAGTATATTTTAATTAAAGAATAGGGTTTTTAGGAATAGGAGTTCTATTTATATTAAGTTGTAGCATGAAAATTAAAGTACAATTTTAAACACCCCATTTAATTTTAACTATCATATGAAAAGGATGCTATGAAATTTTATCTTTACAAAGCACATGGAAACAAAATATTTTACAGAAATATAAAAGATAAAAGCATTTATAACAAAGTTAGAAAGATACTGTTTCTACAAATTATAATAGTTTCTCATTTAAAATACATAGATAATGAATTTTATTCACATTATTGTATGTAAATATCTTAAGAATAGGATAATCTATAGTGTCTATTAATAACCAAAAATATATTTTAATGTAAGCTTGTATACATCACTTATCATCTACTTACATGATTAGAATATAAACATTTTATAACCAATAATCTTATCCAGTTAATGAAATTCAAGGAGATTGATAATGGCTATTTGGGATTTGATCATATCAACTTATTTCGAAGAACAATTAACAAACATGATGTGATATGCTAAAGTAAAATATACTTTTCCATAGTTATCTGTTAACACTATAAAAAAGTAATTAAGTTTTTTTTATTCACAGTGTATGAATGTTTCCAATAAGATGGCACAGAATGAATTCTCATTCCAAATAATAATATTACTCATTAACATTTGGAAATGTGCAACTTACTGCACGTAATGCAATTTCTGAGCTAGAATAATACCTAATTTTTACCTTTCAAGGTAAAATCGTCTCTGTCAACTAAAAAGTATATTAATAACTTTTTAATTTAACAAATTTTATTATCTGTTATTATTCTCAATATGCAATACACCACATAGTGAGTTTCCATTTTGATATTTGTTTCTCATAAATGATAACGCAGGATTTGCCTGACTGCATTATATTGTTACCTAGACTAGAAGAAATAATAATATATACAAGTAAAATTATTATTTTTTTATAAACACAATATATGTTATTCTATTAATAATTGCATTATTAAAAATAGTAAGAATTCATAACAGAAAAAAATATATGTCGACAATTACTGTTTGGAAATATGTTGTATGTTTTTGTATGTCAAGTCCACATTAACAGATTCAAATTTGTATAGACTTGTTGAAGCCTTTTGTTGAGAAAACACAAACATGATGACAATATGTTTGACATAATGCTATTGTCGCTACATAAGTGTTGTAAATATGTTTTACTTGGAAGCCATTAACAAGAAAATTAAATTGAAATATAACTTAAATAAACTTGTAATTATTTACATGTCTAGTTAGAAGCTATTGCAATTTATTGTTGAAACTCACAGATTAAATATAGCCAGAAAACAAAATCTTATGTAGGTCAAAAATTTCTTTATAAATGTATGCAATATTATTAATCTGAGGTTAATCAATTCATATTATTATATCAACAAAGTAAGAATTGGAGCAATAATAATTGATCTTGCATGAAATTTTATAATTGTGAAATTGTATTATTATTATTTTGTTCATGCTACATATATATGTGGGTAGGTAGTGATAAGGACTTGTAGTTCTTTATACTATGCATTTCCCAACACCAGATTGTAATATGTACATATATGTATACTAGCATTGCCCGCGGCTACGCCCGCGTTCAGATGACCAAAAACCAAATTCTTAGATTTTACATATTAGTATACTCTTACATTGCACTTTTTGTATTTTTTCTCAGAAATGAGATATTTTCCCGCGGTAAAAAGTATCCTATATGTTGACCCGGATAACCAGCTATCACCATACCAAATTTCATCAAAATCCCTCCAGTGGTTTTTCTGTGATGTGGTAACAGACAGACAGACAAAAATTCTAAAAACTATGAATTCGGCCTCTGTATCGAAATAATGTTTATTTCAATAAGATTTTTCAAAAAAAAAATTAACGTACAGATTCAACTCAGTTAGAATTTTATTATATATATAAATGTCATTCAATTATAATTAACTACCGACTCACACTAGCTTTGCTCAGGTACGTCCCTAGGTACGTTTTGACACTTAGTATGGAATAGATACTTATTTCAATATTTTTTTTCGCCAATTGTTCCCATATTTTCTGCTATTCGGGGTAAAGGCCAATTCCACAAAACAAAGATCATAAAAGTCTGTTCAGCAGATCTCGAGTTATAAGTGTTATAACAAACCCAACTTTGTATATATATATATATATATATATATATATATATTATATATATATATATATATATATATATATATATATATATATATATATATATATACATATATATATATATAGAAAGTCTATATGCCTTTAGAATTTATTGAGAAATGAGATATTACGTAGTTGTAAATCCTACTAGTATGTATTCAAAGAGTGAATGTTTGTGAGGATTAATGGATGGATGTTTGTTACTCTTTCACGCTGGGGCGGCTGAACGGATCTGGATAAAATTTGACACAGAGATAGATTATGGTCTGGAATAGCAAATAAGTTACTTTTTATCCCAGAAAATCTACGGTTCCCGTGGGATAGATTTCTTTTTGTCTAGGGAATCTGAAGCGAAGCGAGGGTGAGTCGCTAGTTATATAACTGAAATTAATAATAAAAAAATTATAATACAATAATATTATGTCCAATAAAATAAAGTACAACAGCTACTGTGTGAGAATTTCAGATGTTTGAACATTGGCCCATTAGCTCAGTTGGTTAGAGCGTCGTGCTAATAACGCGAAGGTCGCGGGTTCGATCCCCTCATGGGCCAATTATGTTTTTATTTTTTTGATTTAATTTAATTATATTAAATATTTTTGCTTATAATAATTTGATGTCAGTTTAATTTTTATAATTCACTCCTAATGTTAAAGAACAATGTTCTTTAAAAACCTTAAACATTTTGCAATTATTTACATTATTTATACCATAGTCTTTACCAAGATAGTTCTCTTAGAAATTAGTCGCCATTAATAGTATGTATTTTTTCAAACGATCAATATTTTACGATTTATTGAACTTTACAGAAGAGAGTTTTTTTTCTATCTTAAAAACAAAGTATTATTTCTAAGATTTATATGTACCTAATACACTACGACTCACCCTCGCTTCGCTCTACGTTCCTAGGTTCCTAGGTTGCTTCGCCATACAAACTTTCATCCCCATTTTCAAGGGATTTATCCCCAATTTAAGGGATGATTTCCGGGATAAAAACTATCCTATTTCCTTCCCAGGGTCTCAAACTATCTTCTTACCAAATTATATCTAAATCAGTTCAGTAGTTTCGGAATCTATTCGGTACAAACAAACAAAAATTCCTCTTTATAATATTAGTAGGTATAAATAATACCTATATATAAATTATAAATAAAATACATTTTTCAAGTAAAATGTGTATTTAATAATATTAGAATTTTAGTATTGCATTTAAAGTCAATAATTCTGTATTAAAATCTCTTTCGGTAAATTGGTCGTTTGGACAAATAAGCACTTAGATGACGAATTATATTAAAACAATATCTATCAGATATTTTAATTATATATTTTCATTTTCAGATTAGTAGATTATAATGCATTCTATCACCAAGAACCTTTAGAAGGGCTTGTTAGAGTGACGAGAATGTTGCTCCATCACAGATATCCGCGTTATCTTGAAGATGGAGGCAAGTTTTTTCTTATATTATTACTAATTTATTAATTATGAAAATGCGATGGATGGATCCTTCTTATTACATAAAACAAGGAATAAACGATGATTTTTTTCTTACAGACATACAAAATAGGCTTCTTTTTGTTGTTTTTTTTTTAGTTTAAACCACCTAGGTCCATAAAACCATCTAGGTTTTATTTGTGTTATATGTGTATTATTTACTAGCGACTCACCTTCGCTTCGCTCTGGTTTGTCCCTAGGTTGATTCCCCATGCAACCTTTCATCCCCATTTTCACCCCCTTAAGGGATGATTTCCGGGATAAAAATTACCCCATGTCCTTCTCAGGGTCTCAAATTCTTTTCTTACTAAATTTCATCTAAATCCGTTTATTAGTTTCGGAGATTTTTCGGTAAAAACAAACAAACAAACAAAAAATCAAATCTTTCCTCTTTATAATATTAGTATAGATATGTTAGATTACTTTAGATATTGTATTATTCCTGTAATTTGCTTTATGTAATACTAGTCTTTTTCCGCGGTTTCTTTCACATATAATTAGATAGAATTAATCTAGAATTTATAGTAATTTAACTTTTGATCTCGTTCAATTTCATTGAGCCGTTGCAACAGAGGAAATAATGCTATTTATAATGACGCACGTCACGCGCGCGTTATTTGCGCATATTTTACGCTAATAACCTGTAAAAGGGCCTATACCATATACATTGATATATAAAACATATATAGATACACATTTTCTAGCAAATATCTCTTCAAAAAGTGGCGCTGATATGTGACGTTAAGTCAAACTAAAGAATAAAATGCAAAAATCAAAAGTTCTAATTGTCTAAACAAAAATTCAAACTTACGTATAGAGTACTTTTTAAAAGGAAACAACGCGCGTTTTTTTGCCATTCGAAAAGCAATGAACAAAAGGTATTTGAAAAAGCTCACAATTTCGAACTGTACACCTTTTTGAGGAGACTTTTGAGACGCTAATTGTGTTTCTTGAGTTTTTGTATAACAATGATCTATACACACTGCGTATAATAAACGCACGCGTATCATAAAAGTATCTTATTTGTGTATATTTTGTGCTAATTAAAAAACAAAATGCAAATCGCTCGCGTCGATAGCGCATTCACATGAACATTAATATTATGATGTTATTTTAAATAAAACTATCTTTTCGGATTTTTTCGCGGATTTATTTTGATTTTTGATTCCCGACGTCACAAACAAACGTTTTTGTCGTCAAAAAAATGTCAAATATTCGCGTAAATTTAAGAAAGTATTATGATGTTATTTTTTTAATGTTTCAGCAATGGCCTTCGCAAACCGTCTACCATCTATATACAGTTGTGTGGCAAGTCCATTAGGTGTTGTACAACATTTGTGCAGACATCTCGGCATACCTCTTGCGTGTATACGCCCTGTACCTGTAGGGCCTTCTGGTATGTTATATATTATATCTAACTAGGTAATATGAATAACATTTTTTTTAAAGATTGAATGTTTAAGGGCTTAACATTATTTTTGTTTTATATATTTATTTATTTTTATATATATATATATATATATATATATATATATATATAAGCACAACTTTATCGTAATTTATGTATGTATTTATGAAGATGTCCACCTTAACTTACCAAAACAAAAAAAAAGTTCGGAAAAATACCTCTGTTTAAGTTCCGTTTTAATAAGATTTTATGGGAACACTCCCATAGGGACACATGCGGGAAGTATCGTAACACCGAATGAACTACTGAGATAATGATCTAAAAGAATCTTAACAGCTCAATAATAATTGGTTGCTTTCATTTCACATTCTCTTCATGCTCGACCATCAGAAATTGAATACATCCTCCTTTAATTGAGCGGATTAATAATTATTTAAAAAAAAAACAGTCATCAGGATTGCCGATAGAAGTGAAAACTTAAAACTATAAACAAACAGTTGACATTTTTGGATATTCAAATTAACTGTTTGATCTTAAATTAAAATTTTTAAATTAAAAAAAATGTTTAGTACTTACATTTATCTGGTTTTGACATCTATCGGTACTGTTAGTGTTGGCGTTAACACGTCACGTGACCATGTCGATGACGACTTACATGAATTTACTCCCCATCCAAACCTGTCTATACAAGTTTTCACTTCAAAAAAAAGCAATGTGTTATGTCGTTGTTTATACAAGCGTTTTCTCACGACTCTGTCTACGTATAAGTAAATATAGAATAAAAAAACCTTTGTCGTTGTTAATATTAAGGTTTTCTCGTGACTCCGCTCGCGTACCTACTTCAAGTAAGAAAAAAATAAATGAAAAAAAAACAGTGAGCGATGTCGTTATAAATACTAGCATTTTACCTAGACTCCGCCCGCGTAGTTTATTTAAAAAAAATAATATAATGGGTTCGTAAATCAAATTTCTGAAATTATAAACAACTATAGTAACTGAAATAATTACCAACAAATACAATGTCCAGGCAAAGGTATGGATTTGGAAGCGTTAGAGCGTCTCTGCGACGAGGATATAGCGGCCAACCGCACCCCCGTGCTGGTGCTGGGCGAGGCGGGCGCGCCCCCGCTCGGCAGCGGCGTGCCCCTCGCGCTGCTGGCCGCCATCTGCGCGCGCCGCAACGTGCACCTGCATGTGCGGGGACACGCGCTCGCGCTGCCCGCCGCGCTCGGCAGGGAACAGGTACTGTCTCGCTCTAACACTCACTAGTAACAATCCGTCTTGCTCTATTACACTGTCTTGTTATACCACACGTCGTGCTAGGCAGAGAACAGGTGCAATCGCGCTCTAACATATACAGTAGCTACTACCGTCTCCCTCTAACAGTCACTAGTAACACTCCGTCTAGCTCTAAAACTCTGTCTTGTTAAAAAGGGTACCGCGCGCTGGGCAGGGAAAGGGCGGCTGTCCCGCTCTAACACATACAATATCTATCGCCGTCTCCCACCAACACTTACCATTGATACTCCCTCTCGCTCTAAGATAGCACATGCGTGAGCACACCCTCGCGTTGGCGGTATTTCTAGAATGCTTTTGAGTTTTGTATTAATAATATTGTATAGACTTGGTTGTTGAAAGAAAAAGCCTCAGACCTGAGAAGAACTGGCGAAAGAATCCCATATGACATTCCGCAAAACCGCTTTCATTCAAAAAAAGATAAAACATCAGTGTTGTGCGTAACTTTCATTTTCATGTCATTTAAACTTTAAAGTCAAATATATAATAAAAGTTTTTCTTTAATAATTTATATTTTGTTACAGACATACAGTATAGCAGATTCGCTCACGTTAACGCCTGGGCCTTGGTTCGGCGTCCCCGGCCTGCCAACTGTTGTATCCTTTTAAATTTCATCATAAAGTGTTCAGCAACATTCACTTTAAACTCTCAGACTAAGGTATAATATAGAGTCATAAAAGTAAACATGAAGCCAAACAATAATATTTAAAAATACTATATAAATGACAATTTGTATACTGAGTGATAAGTAAATAAATAATAATAATTAACGGATTTTTATATTATAACTAGCATTGCCCGCGACTCCGCCCGCGTTCAGATTTCCAAAAACCAAATTCTTAGGTTTTACATATTAGTATACTCTTACAATGCAGTTTTTGTATTTTTTCTCAGAAATGAGATATTTTCCCGCGGTAAAAAGTATCCTATATGTTGACCCGGCTAACCAGCTATCATCATACCAAATTTCATCAAAATCCCTCCAGTGGTTTTTCCGTGATGCGGTAACAAACAGACAGAAAAAAATCTAAAAACTATAGATTCGGCCTCTGTATCGATAATAATGTTTATTTCAATAAGATTTTCCAAAAAATATTTAATTTACAAATTTGGCTTAGTTACAATTTTATTATATGTATAGATATACTTTAATCTCAGACTAAAGAAATATATAGACAGAGTCCAGAAAATAAATGTCAGAATAAAAAATAGTAGCGTGATATTATGCTGTTTATGCTACTATTCTAGACTTTTCCATACAGATCGTAACACGCTCGTTTGGGAAATCGAGTGAAGCGGGTTCAAATCCCGGGTCTCGCACCTCTGATATCTATATATATAAAAGAAAGTCGTGTTAGTTACTTCGCTTATAACTCAAGAACGGCTGAACCGATTTAGCTGAAAATTGGCAGGGAGGTAGTTTAGAGCCAGGAGAAGGACATAGGATACTTTTTATCCCGTTCGACCGCGTTCCAATTTTTATGATATTTTAATTTTTGGATTTCTCTTAGTCCGGAATAGGTAAGTATTAAAACATATAATTAAAATGTGAGAAAGAAAGATTTTTTCTTTTTATATCTATTTAAAACGTACCTAGCGACGAACCCGAGCGAAGCGAGGGTGAGCCGCTAGTTTTCTATATATAAGGAATACATCGTGAGGAAACCTACATGTCTGAGAAAACCTAGCAAGTTTTTGAAAGACATGCTCAGTCCGCCCGCACATGGCCAACGTGGTGGACTATGGCCTGATCCCCCTCGTATTTAAGGGAGGTACATACTAAAGTAGTTACCATACAGTATACCGTTCTTACTTATTATGCCAACTTTCAAGGAAAAGTATTTGGATTCCTATGTAATAAACGTGATAATAAATCGATTAGATAATTATCAAAAGTTTATAGTTATTGTTTTATTTTTTTATTATCCTTAACACATTATCAGACATTCTACAAAATTCCAGAAGCAATTACAGCTAATGATCTTTCGAAAGGAGTTAATTCGGTAAGTTTTTAGGGCTCCGTACCTCAAAAAGTACAAAAAGGAACCCCTATAAGATCACTCTCTTGTCCGTCTGTATTTATTATTATTAAATAAAGTACCGGTAACCTACAGAAGTTTTACTTCTTGCGCGTGTACACATTCATATATGCATTTTTTTTATATTATGAGCAGACGGGTAGCAGGGAGGGGGCATTGGCAGCGCTAGCGGGGCTGACGGCGGGCGCGGCGCGGCTGGCGGCGCTGCCGCTGTGGACGTGCGCGCGCGCGGCCGGCGCCCGCCGACTGGCGCGCCGCCTCGACGACGCCGCCTTCCGCTCCGCGCGCGCTGCCCGCGCCGTGTTCGACAGCGCCGGCCTGCGCATACTGGTGAGTGGGACGGAGACGGAGATGGATGTTGTGCGTGTGTGTGAGCGAGACGGAGTATGCTCTTATTACGACCATTGCTTTGTGGAAGTTGATGAGTGAGGGAGTAAGGAAGAACGATATTTACGCCTCCCGCTTCGCGCCCGCGTCGTGTTCGACAGCGCCGACTTGCGGATACTGGTGAGTGTGACGGAGACGGAGATGGTTGTTGTGTGTGTGTGTGAGCGAGACGGAGTATGCTCTTATTACGAACTTTGGATGTTGATGAGTCTGGTGAGTGGTGGATGGAGACGGAGATATCCTATGTGTGTACGTGCGTGCGTGCATGTTTGGGTGCGTGCGTGTGTGTGTGTGTATCTATCTATGTATGTGTGTGAGTTACGCTGTTTAAATTTTGAGTACCTGGGCGACCGAGCTTTGCTCGGAGTTTTTGGCCAAAAAAAAACAAACTAAGAATTTGAATAAATACAAAAAAAAAACAAAATTAAAAACTATGTGTCCGACCGGGATACGAACCCAGATACCTGTGGCTGTCAAACTTGCGCATTGGCCGCTTGACCATGATGCTTATATCTGAGCGTGCGAAATTATCGAACATAATATTTTGCGTGGGATTATTAATTATTAATTTATTGAAATCTATAATGAAAATAAAAGAAATCATAATAATAATAAAGCTTTATTCATTTATTTATTATAAAGACTTACTAACTAAATTTACATAAAAACATTTATTTAACATTATAATTTTACCTATCTGTATATAAATTTAATTTAAAAGTATGCACAGCTTTTTAAAAAAGTATTTCATTAAAATTTTATTTGGTTAAGAGTATATAAGGAGCCATTTTAGTTGTACAATAAAAAAAATGTCTATATCACATTGCTGAAATATAAAATTATATAATTTAGTGACTATTTATTAACTTCTAATTTTTTAACTAATAATTTTGTAATCTGGAATTAAATTATTTTAAAAATCTTCATATTATTTGAAATGATATTGTATATATATAAATTATCATTAACAAATAAATAAATAAACAATCACAATAAATTAAATAATTCAATTGAGTAAATACTAAACATTTCACAATAATAAATATAAATAAAATTTCTTTCCATACATTAATTCTGACAATAGTTATAAATTAGGTAATACTTTCTTAGATTTACGCGAATGTTTGACATTTTTAAATAAAACTATCTTTTCGGATTATTTCGCGGATTTATTTTGATTTTTGGTTCCCGACGTTTCGAATGCTTTACAGCATCCATGGTCACGGGAGAGTCTCTCCCGCGAAATAATCCGAAAAGATAGTTTTATTTAAAAATATAAATTAGGTATTTAATTTCATAATTAAATGTATTTATTTAGTAAATGTCTTTTTCATGTATAGACCCCTCTCGGTTAAAAGCCTCCTCCAAAGTAGTCCTGCATAGTGCTCTCCGTTGGAGATTATGCTTGTATGATTGCAAAGGGTTTCTTTTCAAATTTTGTTTTCAATATATAATTTGTTTCTGATATGCCTATAAAGTTTATAATTTTATCTTTGTGTCCTTTTGATTTGTTGTAGGAAATGCTGCTTTTAATTCTAGAAGTTTTTTTGGTGAAGATAGGTATAACTTTGTTCATTGTATGTCTGTTTTTCTTTGGAGGGTTACGGTCGAACTCCCCCACAGTGACCGGCCGTACTGGTGGATAAAGATGAGGAGGTTCCTACGGTGTTTAATATACTGTATCTTGCTGTGTTGTTTTTAGTTGTTCCTGGTTATCATTTGTGTGGTTGAAAGTTAATTTTGGTTTTTGTAAAATAAAGTCTTTAATATTACCAGGTATGGTTTTCTTTGTATTTTGTTTATTTGTTAGTTTTTGTTTATAATTGAGGTAAGGCGTTTCTGGAGATACAGGCAGACTTCTTTTTTATTTCCGTTTAGTTGAAGACTATTTTTTCCTCTAGTTCATGATAGGATTTTTCACCTTCTTCTACTCTGAACATAACCAAGTTCTTGCGCCTAATATGTCTTTCTAAATTATTTATTGAGGTACTTTGTTCCTGGATTTTTTTCTCAAGAACTTCAATTTTTATTTCTAACTGTTTAAATTTCTCATTTAAGTATATTATTGCTGATTGTATTTTTAATGTCTTCTTTTATTTCTAACATTTCTGTTTTCTGCTGTCTTATTTCTTGTTGCATGTTTATTAGCAACTTTTTTATGTCCTCCATCTTAAGTGTGAAGTCGGAAGTAGAAAAGCTGATTGAAAAAGAGCACCAATTATACCTAGTTGAATTGCAATTTTATACCGAGTACCTATTAGTTTTTGAGGTTATAAACTTAATATGTTTTAATATTTGACGCTTTCACTTCACAAATTATTTTGTTTTATTGTCATCACACACAGAAAAGATGGTTTTGCACTGATACTATCTTTAAGTTATGTTTGTCACTTTTGTATTTGTTTGGTAGGTGAATTTTTAAAAGCTCATTTGTTCTTCAACACATTAAGACTTGGTGATGTTTACATATTGCCCATAGGTTTTACTTAAAAATTTTCCATTTTTCTTTAGATTATTTTCACTTAAATATATTTTAAACTTGATGTAAATACTTAATACGGACACGATGTTGACAGTTGCACAGTGGCGCCGCCCACTCACCACAGAAGTGACAATGCAAAGATTGTGAAAATGCAAAAGAAAATCGTATGAAAATTCGAAAATTCACATTTTTCCAGTTATAAGACTAATCTAGATCGATTTATCGCCCCCGAAACCCTCTGTATGTTAAATTTCATGAAAATCGTTGGAGCCGTTTCCGAGATTCAGATTATATATTGATATATATATATATATATATATATATACAAGAATAGCTCGTTTAAATATATAAGATTAGTATAATCTGCAAATGATATTGTCAAACTGAACCTAATATTCTGTGTAATTGGACAATGAAAGCAAGGTATAATATAAGTATATACATATATTTTATAAGTTAAAGAGCGATAATTAATTAGTCAAAATGTACTTTTAATATAAAGTACAAAAAAGGAGTTGCTATTATCTCGAACAATAATTCTTGTGACTTTTTTTTATTTCTTGTATATATTTTTTTCAGAGTGAAAGACCCGGAGGAGATGAACCGCCAAATTTAGATTTAGTAGTAAGTATTATTTGACACAACTTTTACTTACACTTACTGCACATATAACTTATTTATATGTATTTAACATACTTGAATGGTCTTGTAACAACCAAACAAATTAGCAAACATTTTATATTGACGTTATCCTATTATTCCGTCGTGGAATTTAGGGCTGAAGCAGTAATCTCTGCTTGGTAGCCCATCACTCCCCCATTACTCGTATATGTGCTAAATATAACGCAATATATCTGCTAGGTATCTACCTGGCGTTGACATTTTTCTTTTGCTATTTTTTATAATAATAAAATCACTCATCATCTTTCTGTAATTTTTCTAAAATAGTTTTATTTTATTTTATGTAAATCAAAATTTTAGGTAATTTTTTTAAAGTTATGTACACTTCTGGTTGATATAGATATCAGGAATAAGAGATTATCATTATATAATGCAAGTGACTCACCCTCGCTTCGCTCGGGTTCGTCCCTACCTAGCTTCCCAATACAAACTTTCATCTCCATTTCCACCCCCCTAAGGGGTGATTTCCGAAATAAAAAGTCCTTCCCAGGGTCTCAAACTATTTTCTTACCAAATTTCATCTAAATTGGTTCAGTAGATCCAGAGATTACCTCTTTATGATATTAGTATAGATTGCATATACATATATTGTTTGTATACTAAATAAATAGATTATTATTATATTACATAACTCTCTTCACAGGAAGCAGTCAGTCAAGCGTCAGCGTGCGTAGCGTTCCAGTTCGCGCCGCCCGGAGCAGAGAAGCCTCCGCCGTACTATGACAAGCTGAACTCCTGGCTGGGACAGGTTTTGCAGAGAGAGGCTGATATGGTGAGTTGTGTGTCATTGATTAATTATTTATTTCCAATAAGGAATATGCGTGATTTTTGTTATACAATAGTGAACATCGTTATATAATTGTAAAACGAATATCCAGCTCCAAGAAACTAAATTTTACTTTTTTTTTTAAATATTATACCGATACGGATACTTTAAACGCGCGCTTGGCGTGACGTCAATGTATCATACATAGAAAAATGACGACTAGTTTGTAGCGACAAAATCGCTTATCTCTCAGTTATGATAATACTTTCCGTCATATTCGGTCTGACCAATGGCGTGTCCTTTCAACTACTTAAATAATTATTGAAAAGTACAAATATAGGTGGGAACACCTATATTTGCACTTTTTAATAATTATTTTCTTAATCAAAAAGAAATAACATTAAAAATATCAATATAGGCTTAATTCAAAAGCAATGAAGATTATAAAAAAAAATATTTCACCTTTATATAAATCACACACATATCCCCTATTCAATGCTCTACAATCAAAGAAATACACTGTGGTAAACACACTAGTGTGATAATTCATAAATAATGGTAATGTACAATAATGGTAACAGATAAGTGTAGAAGTGTGCGAGACGGAGGCGCACGGGGTGGTGCTGCGGTACTGCCCGCTGGAGGGCGGCGTGCTGGGCGACGGCGCGGCGCTGGCGGTGGCGCTGGACGCGCAGCTGCAGGTGTTGCGCGCCACCGCCGCGCTGCGCGACCCCTTCCGCGCCGGCGTGGCCGCGCGCGCCGGCCTGCGCCTCGTGCACGTGCCGGGCTGGGCCGGTCAGTGCTCGGTACTTGGTGTGCACAAGTATCGCCATTCATGCTATGAATTTAACTAGCGTCGCCCGCGGCTCCGCCCGTATTCAGATGACCGAAAACCAAATTCTTAGGTTTTACATATTAGTATACTCTTACATTGCAGTTTTTGTATTTTTTCTCAGAAATGAGACATTTTTCCGCGGTAAAAAGTTTATGTTGTAAGTAACTATATGTTGACCCAGATAAACAGCTATCACCATACCAAATTTTATCCCTCCAATGGTTTTTCTGTAATGCGGTAACAGACAGACAAAAATTCTAAAAACTATAGATTCGGCCTCTGTATCGATAATAATGTTTATTTCATAAGATTTTCCAAAAAATATTTAATGTACAGATTCGGCTCAGTTACAATTTTATTATATGTATAGATAATATATTCACAGATCATATTATATAGATGCCTCATCCCATACAAAGAAATTGATAATAGTTCGCAAATAGTTACTGTTTTATTTTATAAATATGTGCAAACTAACGAATGGTAAATATTGTTAAATTCATTCTACATTCGAATAGAAAAAAATCATTGATCTTAACTATTTTTAACCGTTATAAACAATTCATAAAAAGTAAAAGCGCCATCTGTGAATACACACTACAAACCCATCATCTGATAGCTGATATTTTAATAATCAGTAAAATTACGTAAATTTGATTAACAAGCGTATTATTTCTCTTCCTTTCACTTGGAATATTTCTTAAAACAATAATATGTCTTATTTTGTTATTTTTTTTTATTTTTTGTTAATTTAACACAACTTTGATAGCAAATCGATATATGTAACATCATCTATTGACATTTTTTGGCTATTTTTTCTTTGTTCGTGATAAGGTCTAAAACTTAATATAAGTGGAAAGAAATGTGATAGAAAATAACATTAATTTTCAAAAGTGATGAGAGGCTTAGAGAGCCTTTTTTTGAGGGGATTTTGGCTAAGAGCTGTTTGCAACTCGTTCATGTGCCGAGGTGGCTGGTGAGTTGTTTTATAGTAAGTGGGGTGTAGTGTCGTCATAGATAAATGATTCGATAGTCATTCAATTCGAATTTTTTTAAGAACATTTTTATCATTACCGTTATTAAAGTGACATGGGAATTTATTGTATTTTTTTTATCGTTTACTTACATAATTATGACTTATATTTTCCACATAAATAAATCACTAAATCCCAAATATTACGTTGATCTACTGTTTTTTTTTTAAATCTTAAGTGCTGTTATGTTTTTGGATACCATAAATGTACACAAATTACTTTAAATCACAATCACTGTTATATATAAAAAAATTAAATAAAAAAATGCGAGTGTCTGTAATTCACACATCGTAGAAGTGAAACTTCAGAAAATGATATGAATATAGAGTATCAGGAGTAGGATAATCATAAGGATTTTTTTATATTATTTTTACCAAGTTTAAAAGTTATTTTACATTTTATTTGATATAAATATAAACATTACATAATAATCAGTAATAAAATTTATTATTTTTCACTTCCTGTGTAATGTATTCTATCAAATAACAACGGTTACCATGGCATCATCGCAATGTATTCTATCTCATTCTATCGCCGGCTTAATCCTATATATTTATATGTTTGTCTCTTTTTACTGTCGCATTTCCGTTTCATCGAGTTTCAAATCACAACGATTCTAAAGAAGTTTCACTTCAAAAAATTACCGCAAAAAACATATTTCTAAATGGCATTTATATGTACAGGTCTAGGTGGAGTCCGTTACGTACCACCTGGTTGGGAAGAAGCGCCTCAGGACGAGTTGAATGCACTGAACAGACAGCTCGTGGAAACTTTGAGAGCTACTGACGGTGCTTTCTCATGTGGCGAAGGAGAAGACGGGCTTGCTTGTGTTAGGTGATTAATGTTTATATATTATATAGTGAATATGTCTGTTTGTTTTTTAGATTTTGTTGATGATGATATTTTTTTAAGTAAAGAATCTATAGTAAGTTAGGTATTTTTTTAAAAGTCGTGAATATCAATTTAAATGTTATTTAAAGAGATAATAATAATAAAAAAAGTTGTTTTGTCACAGAATTCGTCGAAATAGTGATTAGTATGTATTTTAGTCCGTTGTTTATTATATTTTCATCATCATTAGCATCATATGTTGTAGAAGCGGGCCTAAGCTAATTCATCACTAAACATTGTCAACCGTCCTCGTAAAATGGTGGAAAATTTGAGATCCACTGACAGTACCTTCTAGTGTAGTGACGGAAAGACGTACTTGATTGTGTTAGGTTAATATAGTGATTAATGCTATATATGAATGTCTGTCTGTTTTTTACATTTTGTTAATAATATGTACACATGAGGCTTCTTCGGTGACCATGATTGGTGTAAAGCGAAACGAATCGAAACGACGGGAATCAAAAATCAAAATAAATCCGTGAACAAATCCGAAAAGATAGTTTTATTTAAAACTAGCAGAACCCGCTGCTTCGCCCGCGTTTAAAGTACAAAAAACGTTCTTTGCCTTCCCTTTACAATAATGTATGGAAGTCTGTCCGATTTGTACACATGTAGTAGCATGATGATATATAGCCTTCCTTAATAAACGGGTTATCTAATGAATTTTTCAAATCCGATTAGTAATTCCTGAGATTAGGGCGTTCAAACAAACAAGCATACAAACTTTGCCTTTTTATAATATTAGTATAGATGAATATGTATGTATTACCAGATTCGGCATGGTGACGTCGGACACGGATGTAGATGAACTGCTGGAGCTGGTGATAGCAGCGGGGAAGGATGTCGAAGAGAACTCTAAGGCTCTCACTGATATGACTGAGGTGTTGAAGAAAGGTATGCTTTTCTTTAATATTTTGTTTTTTTAACTGTAAGGTACCATCATGTTTTATATCTATTGACTAAAATATTATGTGAAATATGGCAAATTTCCTTTTGCAATGAATTAATAATTATTGAAATTTCAGTATCCATAGTTTTTTTTAAATTTCAGAAGTTTTATTTACGAACGTATTATTTTATTCCCTTTTAAATGAAGTACGCCAGTGGAGTCGCGAGAAAATGCTAATATTAGCGTCATGCTGCACACTTTTTTGTTTTTTATTTCTCATACTTATTTATTTATTTATAATTAAACTACGTGAGCTGAGTTGCGAGAAAACGTCGATATTAATAATGACATACCGCACTTCATATATTATATTTAAAATAACCAAACGATAGCGCAATTTAATTGACTACCAGCGCCATCTATTATTAAAGAGCAAGAACCCTCAAATTAAATGTTACATTTATAGTAAAGAAAGCACTTTAACAGCCAGTACTAACAAGGACATGTCCCTCTCCCCGCAGGCATCTCGGCCGCGCAGGAGGAGCTGGCGCGGTCAGCGTGGCAGGACGGGCTGCTGCGGCGCGTGCCGGTGGTGGGGCGCGTGGTGGCGTGGTGGGCGCCGCCCGCGCCTCCCGCCGGCCGCCGCCTGCTGCTCGCGCACGGCACGCTGCAAACCACCGACGACGTCTACAGGTGCGTATACTTACTGGCGACGAGCCATCGCTTCGCTCGGGTTCGTCCCTAGATATACCTATTTTAATTTTTTTGAGCGGAACCCTATTTTTTTTCTAAAAAAAAAGTAGCCTATGTACTATAACTATAGCTGTACTATAACTACCTATAACATCAGCTATCTTCCAGTGAAAGTCCCGTCAAAATCAGTCCAGCCGTTTCAGAGATAATCCAGAACAAACAGACAGACACAAAAATTTTAAAAGTTGTGTTTTTCTTATTAGTATTTAATATGCATTTGGTAAAAAGCTGTTTGTTTGACATTACAAACAGACACTTCAATTTTATTTATCTGTATTAAAAGATGTGTCTCACTATATAAATAACATTTCTCCACAGATATGTCCAAAAGAAAGAGAAGGAAGAGCCAGCTCGCGCGCACTCGCCCACGCGGAAAGAGCAGGACAAAAAATAGTCAAGCGTCTAGCTGTCTCCAAAGAGGCTGCACACAACTTGTGATACGATTACATTACGGATTTACACAATTGATAAATAAATATTATTATTATTATCAGGCAGTGGTAGCTCAGTGGTAAGATGCTTGGAAACTAAGTAAAGTAAGTTCAAATCCCGGGTTAACCTCTGATGTGTTTAAGTGGGAATCATTTTCAATATGATTATAATTTTTCTTAGTAAAGAAAAACATCTTGAGGAAACTTGTATGTCTGAAAGAACCTAGACAGATTTCGGAAAGCATGTAAAATCCGCACTTGGTCAGCATGGTGGTCTATGCCTTGATCCTTCTCGTATTTGAGGCCCACTCCCAGCAGTGGGACATTAAAGTGCTAAATACAATTAATCGCCCAATTCCTTTTGCTATCAATGTACGCTCCATGAAAATAACACAATTAAAGTATATAATGTCACAATACAAATACCTATATGGCCTAGCAGGGCTCGAACCCGCGATCTTTGGCATAGAGATAGTATACATGTAACTAAATTATCAGTATTAGCAACCGGCTACCGCTTCACCTTACGTTTCTTCATTCGAAACTTCTCGAAAGAGAATTATTTCACATGTTCCTACATTTTATATTATCTTTTATTAACGTATAATATCTTAAAATACGCTAAAAGTATTTTTTATCAAAGCGTGCATGATTTCAGATTGAAAAATTATTAATTTTCATATAAACATTTAACTCATTTCTATTCAATATCGAATTTAAAAAGAATCTTTCTAGGAGCGTATTTTAAGCAATGTCCTTTGTAAAATATTTAGTAAAAAAAAATGTAATTTTTTAAGTATAGGGTTAGACCAATAGTTGCTTATTATTAATTCAAGTTACTTTAATAAGTCTTTCATTATAAATAGTTAACTGTTAAAATACGAACAATTAGGGACCCTTAAAGACAAATAACATTTGAAAAAAATAATATTTGTCTCAAGCGAAAACCGAACTCGTAATCACCAGTGAGTATAATATAATAATAGGACTGAAAGTTCGGTAAAATAATTTTAAATGTTAATACATACCTGATACAACGATATATAAAATATTTGAATTGTAGATCGAAATATTTACAGTATTTATAAAAACTTAGAAGTAATGTAAAAATACTCCCCATACAAACCTCTACCTCCTTTTCATCCCCTTAAAGGATGATTTCCGGGGTAAAAACTAATGTCCCAGGATTTCAAACTATCTTCATACCAATTTTCATGTAAATCTGTTCAGCCGTTTAGTCGTGAAAAGGTAACAAACAAACAAACAAACGGACTTTTGCATTTATAATATTCGTATGGATTATAATATTTTTTCTTAAATATGATTCTTTAATACGATTGTGTAAATCCGTGGTAAATACTATATAGCATATACATACATACCAGTTAGTTCAAAAACAGCAATAAAATAGAATTAACCAATTTTATCAAACAATATTCAACCTTATGTTAACGTGATAAAAATCAACTTTAATTTAGCACTTAATCACGTGTATATAAGGTTTAATTTTGCTTGCTATTAACCATTTAAATAAATATTTCCTTTTAATTAATGTATTGCCAAACATATATACTTATAATTTATTAGTATAAGTATTTTATTTTATTGATTATTATAATTGTAATATTTAGTGTTAATATTATTCTTCATAATTTAATTGATTATACTTTCACAAATATATTCTCTTTTAATTGTATTTCAATTAATTGCATAATTATATATGTATGTTCACAATAATTATAATAGGTCACGTGGTTTATAATTAAGTAGCTTTTATATAAAGATGTAGAATATAATAGAAGGAGAGCCATCTATCAAAAAAGTACTAGATACACAATCAGCGACAAAAAATGTTCTCACCGAAGATTCTCACAGAGCGCTCATTTGAGTGTTTGAACGCGATTTTATTTTATTTTTTTGTGAAAAAAACTTTAAGCATTGCATTTAAAGTTCACTTTACATTGTTGTATATTTATTTCAACTGGAATAATTACCTAAACACGATTGGTGATAGTTTTAAGAGAACTTTTGTATGGGATTGTGTATCTAGTACTTTTTGATCGATGAGGGGAGCCCAATGGGGAGTTTTGGTTAGTAGATGTACTCAAGCGCGGTAGATTAATATAAGTGTAACTTGCAATCTGTATATATATAATTCCTTCAATATGTATATAAGTCCTCTATATAAAATCGCGTCTAAAGCATTCCGGTCAGAATATTAAAACAATATTTTGCAAATGACAACCTTGCACTTGTCCATGAAAGTTTATGGACGATGTTTGTTTCTTCGGCTTGTGGAAATCGGCAGATCATTGAATTGCACACTTTTTAACATGTGATAATCCCACCACACCTTAATTTGACGCTCTCAAATATTTCTAATTTATATATTTTTTTTATTTTAATCGGCTGCTCTAAACGCGCGATATTATACAGAAGACTTATGTATAGCGGAGGTACTCAACAGAGTGCAAAGTCCCCCCTTACGTTAATCTGCCGCGCTTGAGTAAATCCTAAAACCTCCTATTGGGCTCTCATACTACAAGTCATGTAGTAAAAGTCCATTAGAAAACACAAAACTAAACTAAAACAAGTACTGCCTTAGTAATTCTTACGATTATCTAGAATGTTCCATTTTTAAATTTATGTCACTTAATATTTTTTTAGTAATTATTTTGACAGTTAAAATTTTATTATTTAAAAGCAGTATTTTTTTTAATTCTATTCAATTATTTATTTGTAGATTAATTTGATGTATTCCAAAAAAAATGTAGATTAAATATGGTGCATCCATACTTTTAGAGGTTATAGGTGATACTTATTAATTATAAGTTATATTATAATAGGTTATTTTTAGTTTAGATTTTTTATGTGTTAATGTAAAAGTTCGAAATAGTGTTGAAAATTGTTATATTTGTAATGTTTCTTTAATACAGAAGACCTAAAACTTCAATAGTTTAAAAATGCAGCTATTTTGCTAAAATATTCTGTGAATTGTAAATTAAAAGTTGTTTGTATACTGTTATTGTCGTTACGTTTCGAACGTTTAATATAACATAAAACTTTTAGTCTGTTCCTGAGAAATGTATTTGTTTCTTTTAAATACCAACATGAAACTTTAATAATTTATTTTTTAAACAATAAAATATATCATTATTATACAAAAACTCAAGATACAATTAACGTCTCAAAAACGTCCTCAAAAAGAAGCGATTTAATTGAAAATTAGAAATTGCGCGTTTTTTTCAAATCTCTTTTGTTCATTGCTTTTCGGATGACAAAATTAAAACGCACGTTTTTCGTTTAAAGTAGTATTTTATGTGTGCGTAAGAATTTGTGTTTACACAATTAGTACTTTTGATTTTTGAATTTTATTCTTTGGTTTGACAACGTCACATGTCGACGATACTTTTTGAAGAGATATTTGTTAAAATGTGTATCTATGTTTTTATATATCAATGAATGGAATACAACGCGTCGGATACATCTAGTACAAAATATAATAAACTAAGTTGATTTCCCATACAAACTTTAATCCCCATTTTCACCCCCTCAAGGGATGATTTCCGGGATAAAAATTATCCTATGTCCTTCCCAGGGTCTCAAACTATCTTCTTAGCAAATTTCATCTAAATCGGTTCAGTAGTACCTGAAAATACCCCCCTACAACGTCACAAACTCACAAACTTTACTTCTTTATAATATTTGAATAGACATACGTGTATATTTTTAATGAAATTATATTGTGACATTAAATTATAAATTCAAAGGCACTTGAATTTGTTTATTGTTGAATCTAAAAATAAAGAAAGCTTCTTTTTCATTATGTTTGGTTAGAAAGTTATTTTTGATTAAAATAATTACTTACACTACACCGATCAAAAAAGTACTAGATACACAATCAGCGACAAAAAATGTCCGCACCGAATGAGCGCTAATTTCAACATCTGAGCGCGCTTTTAATATTTTTGTTGTCAAGACAACTTTAATTAAGCATTGCATTTAAGGTTCAATTTACATTGTTGTATATTTATTTCAATTAGAATAATTACCTAAACACAGTCGGTGGCAGTTTTAAGCGAACTTTTGTATGGGATTGTGTATCTAGTACTTTTTTGATCGATCTTATACTATAAAGAAGAGTTAAAAAATATTTTAATGGCTTTAGAACGGGCAAAATGGACATGATGAATATAAGACCTTAAAACCTTAAGAAAATTCAATTGTATTAAATATGTCACAAATGGCTTGAGGGTTTTTTCTGTTACTTTTTTTACTTTATCTGTATTTAGAATAAAACATATAAGGGTCTGTGTAAGACACTAATTTTAAATTTATAAAACATATACTTTCAGGCGTCATTCTACTTTCTACGTATGTAGGTATAATAAAAAAGGTTTCTCAATGTTTGTCCCCTCTATGTTTTACACTTCAAATTGAATAATAGTAATTTTAAAGTTTGGAATTTGTAAGAGCACTTGAAGCCACAGTAATGTAAATAGCAATAATAATATCTGTATGCATATTGCATTTTGTAGATCCTTTTACAAAAAGTCTTATTATTCAATAGCTCGGAATCGAATACTATAGAAAATATCGATTAATTTATGATCGATCGAAAAAATTGAAATTTTTTATTTAAAAGCTACTTTTTTGGAAAAATCATTATAATTCGTAATTGTGTTTAATCTTCGATCTCAAGTGTTTCTTTTCGTTTCAAGGTAGGACTGCTTAAGTAAGTAGTGTTGTAACAAAGTTGCAATACATTATTATTGATGTCACATTCTAAAGTTTTATCCATACTGTTGTATTAGTGGTGGTCTAAATTTTTTGAAATCTTTTGTCTTTATCACATTAACCGACAAATTATCGTGCCATCGAAATAAGCTATAGTCTTAGACAGATAGATATCATCAACATTATGATAGTGTGGATAGAGCTTAACGTACCGTAAAAATAATATAAAATTCATTAAAAACGTTCATGTATATTTATTGTGATTCATAATGTAAGGCATAGAGTAAAAAATAATAATATACAATGTTAACTTTTGCATTTTTATTTCCCTAGTAAAGCCAATTGCTATTAAAAATGAATGATTTCGAAGTAATTTAAATATTGTAAAAGGAAATGATTTAATCATTTTATATCAAACTAGCGACTCTACCTCGCTTAGCTCGGGTTCGTCCCTAGGTACGTTTTAACGTTTAATAAGGATTTCTCAGAGACGAGATATTTTTCCGCAGTAAAAAGTATCCTATATGTTGACCCGGATAACCAGCTATCATCATACCAAATTTCATCAAAATCTGTCCAGTGGTTTTTTCGTGATGCGCTCCCAGACAGACATAAAAAACTCTAGATAACTCTAGCCTCTGTATCGATACTAATGACTATTTCAATAAAATATTTAAAGTACAGATTCGACTCAAAATTTTATTATATAGATTAGTGACTTACGTTTACGTCTGTATACGAGCTTTGCTACAGTTTAATAGATCTTTTTATGGGGAATAATTCCGGAACACATTTTTTTCATATAACTATTGGTTTACGCGGTGCACGCCAGTAAAGCTCCCAGTTAGCATGATCTTTTCGGACATCTCTAACAGTTATCATCATATTTCAACCCATTTACACAAACCCTAATGAATTATAAAACCTTCCTCATGAATTACTCTGAACATTTGTGAAAACCGTATAAACCCGTTTGACTTTATCACATTCAGACAGACAGACAACCGCAGAGGGGTCCTTCGTTCTATAATATGTATTAATAAATAGTGGTCCGAGAAAGTATAATATTATCACACAAACTTTCACGTCAATGAACATTTTTGTTTTTTTTTCGAAATAAAAGACGAAACTTTTTTTAATAAATCCTTAGGATTCAAAAATGTTCGTAGATACATACATACATAGGTAGGTAGGTGCTACTTGGTTTTTGTACAATATAATTTTACCGTTTAGACCATTTGAATCCTCTAAAATATTTTTAACTTATTTCTAGCCTCGGTATTAAAATGACTCGACTTTTCTAATTAGCAGCTAACTTAGCTTTTTTTACAGACCTGTGATAATTCTGTTAAATTCTATTTTTTGTATTTGACTATATTAAATAATGGTAATATTTAACTTTAACTTATTCTACTTAAGTTGAATAAAAAAACAATTTTTTTAAATTTAAAATGTATTAGAATTACAATAACAAAATAAGCATCAAATTTCATCCAAAGAGATGTCGATAATTACTTGGCGGGTCAATAATACGCATGCGTATTAGTTACATCAACCTAAGGTTGGTGTAAGCGACAAGATTTACGATGTCCTTATTTGCTTAATTTGTATGTATGTAATGTGCAAAATACAGGTAATTTTATGGTGGGGGGATGGGTTCATTAGCGTCTGGCAATCCAGCCATAGGTGGCAATCAAGCCAAGGGACGTAGTTGAGAGGGTGGGTGGTGTACCATGTGTACTGCTCCTGGTACTTCTATGTTAGCTGAGTAAACGGTGGAAGCAACCCCTTGATTGCTGCGGTCTGCCTCGGCAGGCAGCCGATCTTGCGACGCCCCATTAAAACGGGATAGGTTCCGTTGGGTTTTATTAGGTAGTTCTAGCATAAATGGCCAGTGTATCCCACAACATCCCGTATGTATGCTGGTGGCATGCGTAAGTGCATTTCCCAACGCTAAAAAAGGTATTCATTTAGAATAAAATCTAATATTATCTCCTTCCTGCCTATTTCCCAAATTACTTGGGATCGGCGCGGTACGTCTACCATATTACTGATCGGTTTTGCCAAAGGTTTTTCGAGCGGCCACCTGCCAGACATCAACTCTCTTTGGAAATGCTGTTGTTTACCAACGTCGTGCAGTAGACCCGAGGTGCGATAAGCAGCAGTATCGTCTTCTACGACACTTGCAAAATTATATTACCTAATAGAATTTGGAAAAAGTAAAAAAATGAAGACTCTTTCAGAAGTTATTACAGTCGAATATTAATTACCAATATAAAACTAACCGTAGATTCTCGCCGTTTCTTGTATATTGCACCACAAACTTAACATGACAGCTATCATAACTCATTACACGGCTGACGCCTTGTTGCAGTAAAGTACATATCTATTATTTATACTAAAATTCATTAAAAGCCGGTAAAAAACAAAGTTTAATGGTGCCAATGTACTAGTGTAACTACAAAGTTCAAGTCAACATTTTTAAAGAAAATATTTTTCACTTTTGTGCTTTTGTACTAAATTAATTGTGGAGACTTCATTTAAAGTGTTGATTGTTTTTTATTTAAAAGAAGAACATAACCTTTTTATTTTTTTTATAAATATAGTGTAAAAAAAATGTTAAATAATATATTTTTTTATTGTATTATGGTGTAAGAATTTAAAGCATTGAAATACTAATAAATTGAAACAGTGATGAAAATGAAATTGGGAAAACGTTTATTTAATAGAAAAAAGAGAAAATTTATCTTATTTGTAATCTTAGCAATATTCGGATTGTCTTTATTAAAATCAAAATTCGCGCCAGAATTTTCTTTGAAGAAACCAAACATATCGTGTCATTATGAAAAAACAGTATCATATTTAAGAATTTTGCAAAATAATTCAACTTTGCCATCTAAATCCATATTCTTCCACGACACATCCTGCAGTGGAAATCTTACTGCAAGGCAATCATGTGCTATCGAGTCCGCTACAAGAGCACACCCCGATTGGCAGATAAACGTTATATATTCTAGCCCAATATCTTATAATATAAAAGGAGTTTCGCAATTGAAAAGATTCAAAAATGTGAAATTTTGGAGATTACATATTGATGATTTTTCCATAGGGACTCCTCTTGAAAATTTGGTTAAGAGCGATCTGCTAAAGAATTGTCGATATGGCGTTGAAAGGACTTTGGATGTGCTAAAATATTTGACGCTTTACAAATGGGGAGGCATATTTATAGATTTAGATATGATAGTTGGTAGGCCTTTGGGGTCATTGGCAAGAAATTGGGCAGCACGAGAAGACAATGAAGTAATTGCAGAAGCAATATTAGCATTTTCAAGAGACAGTGTTGGGAGAATTATATCAGAAAATGCTGTCAGGTATTAATATTTACCAAAAAATATGTATTTATTTTGTAAATTAAACGTTCTAAAGGGTTTTTTAAATTTGTATTTTAGACATATACAGTCAAATTACAAAAACAGCGATTGGTGTAGTAGTCCAAACACTATGACCAAAGTTCTTCAAAATTCATGTTCAACATCAGAAGCTACTTACATGTCTTCCGCAACATGTAACGGTAAATATATGTATTTAACTGATAGATTTTTGATATTGTAATGTCAATAATAACGTGAGTAGGTATACTAATTAAACAAGGAATCTTGGCAAGAGTTGAGGCCTTTGTACCTCCACTTGTTTATAAACTCCCGAATTTCCAATCATTAAGTATATTTTATAAAATTTTGTTTTTATATTAGTTAATTTTAACATTTAATTTTGAGCATGAATTACAATGTGTACAATATATAAATACCTATCCTATAGACATTTCCCTCCCTACGCCCGCTTCTATAGGTAGGTACGTGCCGCCGTTGTAAATTGTAGACCTAATCGTTCAACTTTCATACATATAAAATTCTAGCTGAGTTTTAAAATAGTCGTTCTTATCGATACAGAGTCCAAATGTATAGTTTTTATAATTTTTGTCTGTCTGTCACTAGACAGATTTTGATGAAATTTGATAAGACGATAGTTGGTTATCAGAGTCAATATATAGGATACCTTGTACCTACTAAATGCTAAAACGTAACTAATATTTAAATATAATATTTTCTTTTTAGGTTTCGAAGTGTATGGACAGCAATTTTTCTACCCACTTCCTAAGGAAAAAGCTCACGAATATTTCATGCGAAGAGAGTTGGGCATTCATAATGCATACACATATTATCTCTGGGGACAAGATACAAAAAAGTATAAGTTGGTTAGAGATTCTCCCTATTCAAAGTTGGCAAGACATTATTGTCCGATGACCTATCAATTGTTTGAACATTATTTAGGTTTATACTGAAGTGAATTTAAAAACTTTTATCTATATTGTATATGATGTGATATTTTATTATAACTATTTTTACTCTGCAATATAACTTTTTAATATGTACTACAGACAGTTTTATTTTAATTATTAATTAGTTAAAATATGTACTCGTATGTAATTTCTGGAGGCGGGCGACGGGCGTTAGCAGATATAACAGACAAGTGCATAGAGTATATTGCTATATAGACAAGTGTTTACTAAAGTAGAACTATCGGTATCGTACATAATTTAAGTTGTAAATGTTCCTTGTTGTTAAATACCATCATCTCAGACTTCCACTTCTGGCGATAGGCCTCCCTCAACGATGAAGAAACGTACCTATTTGAAATTTTTTTTTGTTGGTAAATGGATATTCACAGCTTTAATAAATTGCTCATTAAACAATAACAGGCGCTTTAAAATAACTACGATAGGTATTTTATATGAAATTAAAATTGTTAAAAGTGTATAGTAATAATTTTTAATTTTTTTTACAAGTATGTGATTAAAATTTTGTAATTGCTGCTTCATTTATGAGAATTTTTGAAAATACATGTTCGATGTTATACTTTATCAAGCTTACTATAAGAAAAGTAGCGATATTAATATGATTCGGAACAAACATTTGTTTGGGATTTACATAGCAGACAATATATAGCATTGTACAGCTATACAGCTTATTCAATATGAAATTCTGTATACTGCTAAGTATAATAACAGACTATTTTAAAAATCTCATCATAGAATAATAATTAGCGACTCACCCTTACCCTAGACAAAAACAAATCTATCCGACAGGAACCTTACATTTTTTCAGTATAAAAAGTAAACTATTCTCTATTCCAGATTATAATCTATCTCTGTGCTAAATTTCATCCAGATCCGTTCGGCCATTCTGGTGTCAAAGAGTAACAAACATTCACCTATCCATCCTCACAAATATTCACATTTAAAATATTAGTATGTATAACATTTCAAACTCTAATGTACACAAAAAATAAAAGAAAATAATAAAAAAGCAGTAAGAAGCTGTACAATGGTGGAATTATTGCTAAGCTACAGCGGTTTCTTCCAGGCAACCATTAGGTGTATAGGTACTTAATCCAATCTGTTATTCTTATTCATGAATTTAAGAAATGTTAATTGAAAAATAGTAATTCACTTTTGTGTTGATAAGTGATAACTAATAACGCAGACGGGTTCTAGAGTGGAGACCACGACTCGGCAAACATAGTGTAGGTCACCCTCCAGCTAGGTGAGCAACGACATACGTAAACTGGCTGGCAGCGGTTGGATGCGTAGAGCTGAAGATCGAGCTCAGTGGCGTGCCATAGCAGAGGCCTATGTCCAGCAGTGGACAAAAGCAGACTGAATATGATGAAATGATAACTACTTGAATGATTAACAATTATTATATCATACATTAATGAATTTTGGATTTGTCAAGTTAAAAATCTTGTATAATATAACATGTTATGAAGTAATTTCAATAAATAAGATGAAATATTATTTCCTGTAAATAAAAAAATATTTTTGCTCTACTATGTGATAGAAGATTCACTATATCAGGGTCCACACATGATCAATATCTGTTTTATAAACCTTTAATGTATAATTAAAACATTTATATAAACTCACAAACATTGCCTTTTCAAATTATACATTACACAAAATTTACAAAGTAGTAAGTATTATAACTTATTTTAATTAAAGCATATTCTTTCTATTTCTAAAAAATCTAGCACAATAAATATAAAAGGTAAATAAAAGTATTTCAAACATTAATTTTGTAAAAAGCATCAATACTTAATTAAAATATTATGGTGCAGCTAGATTCACTCACTATTCACTACTTATTCAATTAGAAAAACTTCAGACTATAAAATATTTGACTTAAGGTTTTGAAATACAAACACAATGTAATTTTTTTGGGATTTTTATTTACTTACAAATATTAACCGTCACATCACTTCTTCGCGGCGGCTCCGACCTTGGATTTCTTAGTACCACGCACCTTCTTCATTCTGTTCTTACGTTCCTTACGCTGTTTGCGTGTTGGCCTCTTCTTTTCATACAATCCGTGGCGGGCTAGTCTGTGTTTAGGTTCAAACTTCTTAGCTAAGTCCAAGGTATCGTATATTAAGGCGAAGCCGGTGGACTTGCCACCACCGAAGTTAGTTTTAAAACCGAACACGAAGACTACATCAGGTGTCACTTTGTACATTTTGGCGAGCTTCTCACGGATTTCAGTTTTGCTGACCGTGGGTTTGCCTGGGTGGAGGACATCGCAAACCATCTGCTTGCGCGCCAACAACCTGAAATTCACAAAACGTTGTCACACATAACCTGTCACGGTGCCATATCTCGTATCGTCCATCACAAGATATTTCTTTATAAAATCGTATGTTTTATACATTTACCTGTTGGTCATGAATTTGCGAGTGCGAATTGTCGCGGTTCCTTCACTCATTTTGGATTATTTTAGAGATTTCGGCGCGATACACGCACGTGTCCCTAACAACTTCACAAGGAAAAAGAACGTGTTGGTGTTGCCGTAAACAAATTTACATCATCAATTCGGATTTCAGACTACAGAATATATATTTCTATTAATAGGATATAAAATTAGTACATAATTCATTTATTTAGTTAAAGAGTTATATTTAAATATAATAATAATTTTAAATTGAGCGCCAAGAATGTGTAATTTGAGTAAAAAAACTTTTTTATTTTATTACTTTTTTAAAATGGCAATTAAGTACCAATATACGTTCCGTTTGACGTTCAAAAATTATATAACTTATTTATTACGTTTTTAATTAAATAAATAAAATTAATACTGATGTATGAATAAAAAAACACCTCAAAATATATTATAAGCATTTGCGATAAACTGAACTACCAACTTCAGTTTCACAAGTATGAAGGCTTAACAAAAATACTTATCAATTAATTAATTAAACTGTTATGTTACTGATTATTATGACTGTAATATTAATAATTGATCAATGCAAATATGGCATTGTGCTAATATATTAATGAAATTAAAAAAACCGTCATCTTGCTGATCAGCGACATCTATCACATATTTAAGAAAACAAAATTTTCTTAAAAATAATATTCCGTCCAATTTTTATTTATTGATTGATCCACCTTTACCTACTTGTTGCAATAATAATAGTAGGTACTAGTATAGTATCATAAATTATGATCTGAGATAATAATATTGAGTCATTAAATAGGAAAATTTGATTGAAAAATGCAATATGTATTTCATTTGCCTTTGCTTACGCGATTTTTTTAAAACCAGATACCTTTTTAGATTCGATGTTTTCAATGATTTATTTATTACATATTTTTACAAAAACGTCAATAATAAATCGATATATACAATGCCATCTATTGACATTTAACTTTTTTTACTCTTTGTGAAATATAAAATATTAAGTCAGAATATAGGCATGTATTTCTTTTATTTCAACAGACATATAAATTATAATCGCTACTTATAAAGTACACAAGAATATTTTGCGATATTATTACATTTAATTCGTAATCATCACATTCTTAGGACTGACGACAATTTAAAACTAACTTACAGTTTAATATCACGTAAAAAAATGATTGAAAAGTTGATACATAAATATGTAACCTTAATGACTTTTAATTATATTGGCTTTATAATAGTCCATCAGTCTTTTTGGCACTAAGTTATCCATTTTTCAAGCACTTGAAGGAGCTTATTCAACGGATGCTAGACGTTTATACAATAATAAAATATGCTGTCATGAAGCTGCTCATGTGATAGAGCTGGTAGGAATTTCTCAAATAGGTAGGTAGTTGATATTTGATTACTTAATAAATAAAAACTTAATTTCTCTCTCGGCTTGGCTATTCACTTTTATTTATCTTTTAATATAAAAAATAAAATTTATTTTAATTAATATTAGTTATTGATTAAGCTATTGTATTTTTGTTCGATAAACATAATTTATTATTTTTAACGCTCAACCAAGACTTTGCTCTTTTAATTTATAAGGAAAAATGCCTTCACCTTTAGAAAAACGTAGGTATCAATAACTATTTTACTTTCTGTATAATTTCTCAAGGGAAAAATTGTTGAAAGGTTATCGTATTAAATATAATGTCATGTCAGATCTGAGGTCATCTAATACCTAGATACTTATAGTATCTATGAACTACCTACTTTATTATTTAAAATTTTGTTTGAAAAGCCATTTTAGTATGAAGTTGATTTTTTATTAATGGTTTTTATTTTATAACTAAAGAAATTTCCGATGTTTTAATATTTTGTTATTCTGCTATTCGGGGTGAAGACAAATCCAACAAAACAACAATCAGTTTAGCAGTTCTCGAGTTATAAGTGTTGTAACAAACCCGACTTTGTTTTATATAAAACTTTGTTTTAGATAAAAATTAATTAGCAGCTTTTATTTAAATATGATATTATATTTAATATAACAATAATTGGTATATTTCGCCACATATTCTTATTTCGTTTCATTTCGTTTTATTTTTTTATAGTACCAGAGTAATTTTGAGGCATAAATACATTTTTTAGAAGCCAAAATTCTAATTTCTTGTTGATTTCATCCCTAGTATGTATAATAGACACTATATATATTAGGCTCATTAATCATCGTCAAAGTGATGTAGGTAAATTTTTTGATTAATTTTGCTGAGTACCTACGTATTTATGTAAAAACCTGTCTATTTTTAGAAATAGTGGCATATTGTTATATTACAGTTACTATGTAGTGTATATGTGCTTATTATTTCTTTGTTGCATGTTTATATTGTTATCGTATTATGTACTTACTATATATCATGAAAATGGAAGAAAACTCACTTCCTATTCCAGAAATATGTATCACAATCCAATGATTTATTTGTGAAAATATATGTTTATATCTTATCATAGAGAATAAGTACATATGTACTTTAAGTACTTACTTTAAATATGATAAATAATAAATAAATATGTTGGGACATTAACACACAGCAACATCTAGTTCCATTGTAAGCTATGAGGTACGAGGCCTCTGTTATGGATACCAGATAGTTGATACACTACACATATACATATAACTTTAAATGCATACATATTATAAATATAAAAACTATAACTGGAGTACAAATATTCATGCTCATCATACAAATGAATGCCCCCAGCGGGACTCGAACCCGCGATGGCTGGCACATCAAGTAGGGTCACTACAAACTGAGCCAAACGTGTCGTCATATATGTATAACCGTACCTACGGTAAAATGAATTGCACATTGTTTTTACGGTGTCCGTATTGTGTTCCTATGACATATATCAATAGCGTTTACCCTGTCAATCATGCAGATAGACATCAAGGGCATGACAGAAGCAATAAAACAAACATTAAAAGTAATATGAGGATTAATAGTCTAAGATCCTGATGTGGTGGACCCCTCATTCTTTATCCAGGCGAAATATTTTTTTTTAATCATAAAACATTAACAAGCAACCCGGAGGGTTGTCACCAAAAATTTGCTCCAGGCTATTTTTTTACTAAAAAATCCTCTAGCTTGGAGATGTTTTGGTATGACAACTCTATATAATTATATTTGTTATAAAATTATCTACATTTTGATACTTAGTCCGTTCCGAAAAACGATATGAGCAATTAACTACTTCAATTCAAATGTGATGTGTTCGAAAAAGACCGCTAAAATTTTTAATTCATTTATTTTTAAATCAAAACAGTCTATATTTCTCATTTATATTAGTCACGTTAAATATTAATTACTTATAGGTACTTAGAAAGACACATTTAAGTTACATTTTTGCCATGTTTTTAACTATTTTTTTTGTTTAACACATACAAGAACCAAACTATTGCAAATATTACTCCACACATCAAACCTATTAACAACTTATATATTACGTAAACAATTTTCATCATATTGTTACATACGCAGTCAACCACTATAACATGATCCCATATCTCCCATACCGTAACACCCTCGTGTTCCCCATTTATTAATAACTCAGGGGGTGGCAGGGCTCTCTGTGTTGGTTAACCCCCTACCCCCTGTATCGATCGTACTGGCGCCGGCATTATAACGTAAGCGAAACCTTTATTTCAGCTGAAGACGGCGACCCGTTCTGATCTGATTTACTTCGATCTTTGAGTGACTCCGCTAATACAATCAAGTTAGTATATTTTTGCTATACTTATAAGTTACATTTATTTTGTTACTGTATTTTTAATGAAATTGTTCTATGAAATGCACTTGAATATTTTTCACTTTAACTGTTTACTGTGTTATTTGTTTTATATGGTCTTTATAGGGTTTTTCTGCTGCTGTTAGTAAATGAAATATCTTTAAGCTATTTATTTAATCAATTATTGTATTATTAACTTTAACGATACTTGTAACATGAAAACTTTTGAGATATATTGGGTAGAGTCAGGGATAATCAAAAATGAAATGTACGTATTATTATTTAGGAATTGTTAACTTTATAAATGACTAATGTTATATGTTGGTTCTAAAATATTAAAATTATGTTTTTGTTACCGTATGGGTGTACTGAATTTGAATACAATAAAAAATTATAATATAATATTAGCCAAATATCAGTCTTGATTGATTTTGTGATTTCTTTCCCAATTAAAAAGCAAACAATAAAGAAATACTAAAGTTAAATATAAGAATTCGCCATACTACATTTTGCGATTTTTTTCCATACAATTAGTTCTAGTTAGTTCGTGGACTTTTCTGTGGGCCTTTTTCAGATATATGGTTCCGTAGTACTTTATTTTGATATCTCGTAAGGTTTAGCCAGCGTTTAGCAATGTAAGCGCCCAAAAATATGTTTTTATGACATCATTACATCTTTAAAATTCTCGGCTTTTCTCTATTATAATATGCATGTATTATACATACTAGCGACTCACACTAGCTTCGCTCAGGTTCGTCCCTAGGTACGTTTTAATTTTTTTGAACGGAACCCTAATTCTTTTTCTAAAATAAAAGTAGCCTATGTTATTCCCTATAACATCAGCTATCTTCCAGTGAAAACCCCAACAAAATCAGTCCAGTCGTTTCAGAGATTATCCGGAAAATACAGACAGACAAAAAATTTAAAAAATGTTTTTTTCTTATTAGTACCGTATATAATTCATATGCATTAAGTAAAACGCTGTTATTTTGACATTACAAACAGACACTTCAATTTTATTTATATGTATAGATAAACCTTCCGGAAGAAATTCTCTAAATGATAGTAAAGCCGTATCAAAATCCATTGCGTGGTTTAGAAGAAGATAGCTGAGAAACAGACAGACGAAAACAGCGACTATTCTTTGTAGCTTATATAATATACTATCTATTGATTCAACTTTTTTAAAGATGGTTAGACCAAGAGCACTATGACAAATATGCATAAAACGCCTTTACATACTTCAATTTCCTGAATATCTTAGGTAATTACAATTTCAAATGCTAAAACATTATACCTACTTACATATATAAAGAAATTATCGATATAAAATAATTAACATAACTTATAAAGACTATACGAACCTCTTATCGTAAGTATCATGACATTAATTTATTACGGTTTTGTTCAGGTAATAAATTAAAATCTAAATCACTAAGTAGTGGAATTGAGTTACGAATACGTCCTTGATGAAATGTCCATGATAAAGTGTCTTGTTTACGTTTTCTAAATATTAACTTCGGGAATAAATCAAGGCGGACAACCTTATATTATCCGATTTATAGATTTTATGGGCCAAGGTCGACCCCTCCTATAATTTTGGCAACGAGAAAATGCTTTATATATACATACTAGCATTGCCCGCGGCTCCGCCCACGTTCAGATGACCGAAAACCAAATTCTTAGGTTTTACATATTAGTGTACTCTTGCGTTGAAGTTTTTGTTTTTTTTCTCAAAAATGAAACATTTTTCCGCGGTAAAAAGTATCCTATATGTTGACCCGGATAACCAGTTATCATCATACCAAATTTCATCAAAATCCCTCCTGTGGTTTTTCTGTGATGCGGTAACAGACAGACAAACAAAAAACTATAAAATCCGCCTCTGTATCGATTGTCTATTTTTATAAGGTTTTCCAAAAAATATTTAATGTACAGATTTGACTCAGTTACATTTTTATTATATGTATAGATTACGAACGTACTTCCTAGCTCTTCAAAAACAGTTTCATATATTTTTTCCGCGTTATGTATGTTTTTATTTCTTTATATGAAGACATTTTTGAAGTGTAACTTTTTTATTGCTTATTTAATGCGAAAAAGCTTTGGAATACATTTCCTAAATCTATACATATTATAAAATTGTAACTAAGCCGAATCTGTACATTAAATATTTTTTGGAAAATCTTATTGAAATAGACATTATTATCGATACAGAGACCGAATCTATAGTTTTTAGAATTTTTGATTGTCTGTCTGTCTGTTACCGCATCACGGAAAAACCACTGGAGGGATTTTGATGAAATTTAGTATGGTGATTGCTGGTTATCCGGGTCAACATATAGGATACTTTTTACCTCGGAAAAATATCTCATTTTTGTGAAAAAATACAAAACTGCAATGTAAGAATATACTAGGTAATATGTAAAACCTAAGAATTTGGTTTTCGGTCATCTGAACGCGGGCGGAGCCGCGTGCAATGCTAGTCTATAATATATTTTGTTATGTGAACAGAAAATGTCGTTTTTGTGTTTATAGGACATTATGTGTATGGAGGATGAGCTTCGTCATAGTTAAAATTTATGTGAAGAGGAATTGCAAAAAGCTAAATATTTTTAACTTACTTTTGTCCGCGGTTCTGCTCGCACAGTTTGTTCAAGTATCAATCAATCAAATTTATACTAATATATAAAGCTGAAGTGTTCGTTTTTATATTTGTACGTACTAATCTTTGAAACTAAGCCTCGGATTTGAAAAAATCTTTTTGCATTTTATAGTCTATTTAGAAACGCTACAGCCTATAGACCACCCATGTAGTTTTGATAGAAGAACTTCATTAACGGCTATCCACGGTAGTTTAGACAGAAGAAAATTTACGGGGCAATCATTAGCTAGTATCAATGGTTTTAATATAAAAGAAAAAACTTGGTTTGCAATACAAGCACATATCGAGGCAATTTCCGGCATAAAGGCATTGTGTTTATCCCAGTAAGCAAATCGCATTTACATGCGATATTGGTTTTTAGCAAGAAGTAAATTAATGGCATATTCCATGTTTGTATCAACAATAGTATTCTAAATATAACAAATAATTAAAACCTTTTTTTATTTACAGATGCTTGCATCACGCCACGAACGGCTTGATGACCAAATTTTAAATTAATTTGTGACGCTGTTTAGCGTCACATCCACATAAAGCTTTGTATGGGGGACGTTGCTCTAAACTCTTGTTTACTTATCAGATTCTTAATGGTCCTGGATCAAAATAAACCGAATACTCTAAAACTAAACAGTGCGGCTAGACAATCTAGTCGCTATTCTGCAAGAGATCCAAGGTTAAGAAGCTAACTAAGCAATTGATAAGCACTGCCAGTATTATTTACTAACATAGTATTACAATGGAGTCTGAACAAGAAAGTCCCAGTGTCATAATAAGAAATAGAGCACCACGTGATAGAGTTAGAGTACAGGAGGCTGTTCGAGAGTCTCTACTGACTGATTCTTCATCAGGAATCGTTAAAGGTGATGAAGATTCAACCAGTATTGGTACATCAACTTTCTCAAGTCCAGAAATAGAAGTAAGCAATAAGGAATTGTTGCAAACTTTCAAGAATGATAAAGTGCGGAAAAGTGTTCAATATGAAGAGGATTTTGATGGTATCAAAGTTGGTAACGCTAATTTAAAAGATGCATTTGAAAAGATTGAAGTTGGCAAAGTGAAAATTGAAGATACAAAACTTATAAATAATGAACACACGGTGGCAATACCCGACGGAGGTTGGGGATGGGTAGTTGTTGGATCATCGTTTATAATATCTATGATTGCAGATGGCATCAGTTTTTCATTCGGCTTACTTTATATAGAATTTTTAGATGAATTCCAAGCAAGTAAGTCGACTACTGCCTGGATAGGCAGTTTGTTTATCGCTGTTCCACTTTTAGCTGGTCCCGTTATGAGTGCCCTCGTTGATCGTTATGGATGCCGAAGTATGACAATTTTAGGAGGAATAATTTCAACTATCGGATTTGTCTTAGCATCGATTTCAACAACTCTAGAAATGATGATGATAACCTTTGGAGTGATAGCTGGATTAGGTCTTGGCCTCGTATACGTCACTGCGGTGGTTTCTATAGCATATTGGTTTGAAAAGAAAAGGAATCTAGCAGTTGGCTTAGGAGCTTGTGGTACAGGTGTTGGTACATTTGTATATGCTCCAATGACACAATATTTCATTGAGGAATACGGTTGGCGCGGAACAATTCTTCTTCTATCTGGGACATTGCTGAATTTATGTGTATGCGGTTGTGTCATGCGTGATCCTGAGTGGTGGACATTAGAGCAGAAAAAACAAAGAAGCGAATCAAAAGAAGATGTCAAATCAAAACTTTCGAGCTCCGTATCTGTTGCCAACGCCTGTGGCGATTACGATATTACTACACATGGACAGAACATGAATCATTTAATAAAAAATGGGAGATCAGCGGAACAAGTAATAAAAGAGGAGGCTGCTAGTATACTTCGGAGAGAAAATTTGCTTCTATTTAGCAAACAAAGAAGGCGAAAGTCGGTGTCTTTAGTAAACATTCCAACGTACCTTACTTATACTGATAAGGTAAATAAAACTATAAGTATTATTTTCTTTATATCTTGATTTATTATTTAGTGAGGTCAATGAAATTATAAAATATACCTATAATTTGGCATTAGTTTTAAATTAAACATATATATTTAGACTATAAAAACGTTTATTTTGTGTTGGCCAACTATTTATATTTATGGTATTTTCCTAGGACACACTTTACAGTATTTTGATTTAATACTAAAATATATTATATTTCTGTTTGCATTTTTAGGCTTCGAAGACAATATTAGATACATTAGTAAAAAAAGCTAGCGAAGATAATACAGATGTCAAATATCCAGTTTTGACGAACGATTCTTTCAAATGTGATGATTATAACAACGTCAATAATTCACCAATAGTGAAATATACAAACGAACTACAGAGAACACATTCGGTTAAATTTGAACAAAATAAGGGTAAAATGCTGGAAAACTGTCAAATAAAAAATCCTAGATTGGGAGTAATTGGAAAGTCGTTATCTGAAACAAAAGAAATTAAGCCATTAATAAAACAAGATAGTAAAGAAAGCAAACGAGATTGGTTGAAAAAGCAGCTCTCTGTGAACCATCACTATTTGAGAGATTTAAAAATGCCATTAAATTCTATAAGTCATAGAAATGCTATGCTCAATATAAAGAAATATAAGCTAAAAGCATCCTCATGTCCGGACATATTTAAAAACTCAATGATAACTGTTAATGATCAGGAAGAGGTATGTATATACTACTTTTATTATTGTTAGTATGATTAAACTTTTAATTTCACTTGTCAGTTAATTTAAGTCATGAATCATGATTTAGTTCAAGCTAATTGACCTTTAAAATGCGAGTTCGATGATTTTTAATTCGGGTCACTTTTAAACATCCGTAGCCAAATGTCAATAATCTTTTAAAACTCCGTCCTTTCCATCTGTCTGTCATTAAAAAACATAGTTTGGTTCCTGTTGAAACGATATAAATAAAATTTAGACATGTATGGTATAACTGCTAAAAATGGTCAATAAGTCGGAAATGGAATCAATGGATATAGATTGTTAATAATAGTCTAAGATCCCGATCTATGTGGTGGGCTACTCACTCTTCTAGGCGGAATATCTTTTTTTAAACCTTAAAACATATTAACAAACACGACCCAAGGGAGTTGTCACCAAAAATTTGCTCCAGGCTATTCTCTGGCCAGTATCTCCAGACTAGAGGTTTCTTAATTAAAACGCCTGGAACATGTTTTTGGTGACAACCCCCCTGGGTTCTGTTTGTTAATATGTTTAATTGTTTCAAAAATTTATTTCGTCTGGAAAAAGAGTGAGGGGTATACCACATAAATGGGGATTTCCATTAGGAAATAATAATATAATAATAATAATATATTTCGTTATATTAATAACGAAACAGAAATTTAAATTTGTTTCCAGAAATGGTACGATGACTGTGTCAGTTGTCTTGGGGATATGTTCAATGTATCTCTCTTCAAGAAGATTACTTTCAATCTTCTCTGTTCCGGTACCATAATAATATTCATTTGGTTCATCGTCCCCTACTTCTATCTCGCCGAGCACATGATACAGAAAGGTTATAGTGAAGACGATGGGGCCTTTATGTTGAGTTTGATTGGAATTACCAATACTATTGGGATGGTGAGTTCTCATTTTATTTTTATAATGAATTTTAGAGTAAAATAAAAGAGATCAAGACGAAGTGATCTATTGTCTATCATGCGCCGGTTTTTGGTTCCATTTATTTGGTAATAAATTTTTAAATTAAGGGAATTGTGTAAATTTGTAGTTCTAGTTATCTCCATAAAGCCTCGATTGGATGACAGCTTAAAGTATAAAATATGGTGTGAGTACACTGTACAAGTGATAAATAAATAGAATAAGTATACATTGAGTATATACTATATATACTACATACTATTGAATATATATTCACAATTTCATAAGTTTTATTAATTTAACGCGGAGCCCTAATTTTTGTTCCAAAATAAAAGTAGCCTAAGTAACTCCTTATAATATCAGCTATCTGTCAGTGAAAATCCAATCAAAATCGGTCCAGCCGTTTCGGATATTAGACAGAACAAAGAGACAGGCAAAAATTTTAAAAATTGTTTTTTTCTTTTTAATAAGTATACTTTCATATGTATTTAGTAAAAAAACCGTTATTTTGACATTACAAACAGACTTCAACTTTTTTTAAATCTGTATAAATATCCACACTAATACCTATTATAAATGTGAAAGTGTGTTTGTTTGTGTGTTTGTCCTTCTTTCACGTGGAAACAGTGATGGATTGGCGTGATTTTTTATGTGGAGATAATTAGAGGGCTGGAGAGTGACATAAGCTACTTTTTACCGCGGAAGATTATCTCATTCCCACGGGAAAACACGTTGAGCTTTTTTTTTGGAGTTTTAGCGCGAGCGAAGCCGCTTTCTGCTAATATATTATTGTGATATACGAGTATGCGACATATCTTTTATGGCTAGTATAAATAATTATATTTTTGTTTGTACCATACAAAAGATAGATTAGATATCTAAAGATACTATGTAAGTACACAATAGTACAATAATAGAATATTAGCTAATGGACGATAATTATTATTTAATAAATTACATGTAGATATTAAGATAACAAATATTTATTAAATCAGACCGCAGATACGCTATTGTATCTCTATATTTTCATACTGGTTGGTTGGTTCTTGATGATACTTAAAATTTTAAATTATACTTAAAATACATACATACCTACCGACCATGTATTTTAAGTAGCATATCTGATCTTTCTGCTCCTAAATATGAAGGGCTTAGTATCTCTCCCATACCAGTATAGTATTATATAATCTGTGGAAGGTTTAGGTTGTGTAAGGAGTTGATATATATTATCCATGAGTAAGGTAGTGATAGGACTAACAAGGTATTCATTATTTTCTTTTAATATAAATCTAATACTTTCTTAGATTTACACAAATATTTGAAAAAAATGAAATAAAAACCTGTCAAGAACTTGAGCAAGGAAATATAAATTGACAAACTAATATTGTAAAAATAAAATATATGTAGGTCATAGTGACACTTTTACAATTGTTATGCTAACATTATTTTAAATATGACTTCAAGGATCGCTTTCTGTTATGTAATTGAAAGTCAGTCAATATTATAAAGGTTAAATAAAACGTATAACGAATAACTATAGCGGTTGGTATGAGATAAATAGGTTATATCTATATATATGTACATAGGTATGTATGATGAGTTTTGTACCGCTTACTTGAAAAATGATTGATTCCCCATACAAATTTTCACCTCCTCTTTTCACCCCCTTTAAGGATGATTTCCGGGATAAAAACTATCATTTGTCCTTCCCAGAGTCTCAAACTATGTTTATACTGAATTTCATCTAAATCGGTTCAGCGGGTTAAGCGTGAAAAGGTAACAGATAGACAGACAGAGTTACTTACGCATTAATAATATTAGTATGGATAGTAACATCTTTTATATCCATCTTAAAGGGCATTATAGTGCTTTAGAAACTATTAATAATACTTATCCATAAATTCAAAATTATTCAGTTTGCTAGTGTCTTGTGAAAATTGTATTTGTGCCAAATTCTTGTATTTTGCCCACCTATATATAACTCTTAAAAGTGGTTTTAACAAGATTTAGTTACGTTACGTCAGCAAGTAAAAAAATATTCATTATGAAATATTCTTTGAAAAAATATACTTTCCTAAAAGATTACTAAAAAATATTGGCTATTTCCCACCGACAGAAGTCGCAGAATTTACAGCGACCATATTACTTCGATATACTCACTATTTACTAAATGAATTTTTATAAAATATAGATCAAAGTAATCACAGGCAATACACTGGCAACACTTAGGACTGTCGCTGTTACTGTTAAGTGTTAAGTATACCATTAGTTCCAAAAACTGCTATGAGGAAAATCTAATAGCCCGTCAATAGTGAGACGCATAGTATTTATTATATAAATTTTATTATATAGAAATTTTTTGCTGTAACTCTGACGTCATTAAATAATATTGAATCTTTTATGTAGGTTTCCTTCTTGTCAGGATTTCGTACAAGAAGGGTGCCAATGAAAACCTATTACTAAGCGTCCGCTGTCCGTCCGTCCGACGACAGAGGGTTGTATCTCATAAACCATAATATTAGAGAGTTGAAATTTTCACAGATTTCCATCGCCGCTATAACAACAAATAATAAAAAAATAAAAACACAAGAAACATTTTTTAACGTTTTCTAAATGTCTAACTTCTCGTTATAATTATGCAACAAAAAAATTATTGACATAGAACTTTAAGATCAGTTGATTTTTCCATCAACACCTCTATCTATATCAGAAACTCCAAATACATTCTAGTATACATATTTAACATTTTAGGTATCCCTTGGCTGGATAGGTGACTTTCCAAACGTATCAATCGGCAACCTCTACGCAGTGTGTCTCGTTCTTTGTGGTGCCGCAGTAGCAGCCATACCCCCAGCAGCGTCAAACTACTGGATGTTAGCTTTAATATCAGCCGCCTTTGGACTGCTATTTGCTGCTTCATTCACTTTTACACCAAGTTTGTTGGTCAAATTGGTTTCTTTGGATGATTTCACTTCAGCATATGGATTGGTATTGTTAGCTCAAGGTATTGGACATTTGATTGGACCGCCATTGTCAGGTAAATGCATCTTTCATTACATTTTTCAATTTACGAGTTCGACTTATGGTGAATAATTGTTTTAACATGATTACTACTTGTCTTACGGTGAAGGAAACATCGTTAGGAGACCTGTATATTTGAGAGAACTTATCTAGTTTTCAATAGACTTGTTGAATCCTTACTAATGGCCTGATTTTCCTCGCAGTGGAGGCAAGTGTACGCCCAGCAGTGGGACATTAAAAAAGCCTAAACGATTTTATAAACTACTAGCGACTCACCCACGCTTCGCTCGGGTTCGTCCCTAACTTGTTTCCCAATACAAACTTTCATCCTCATTTTCACCCCCTTAAGGGATGATTTTCGAGATAAAAATAATTCTATGTCCTACCCGGGGTCTCAAACTATCTTCTTACCAAATTTCATTTAAACCAGTTCAGTAGATCCAGAGATTACCCCCTACAACGTCACAAACTCACAAATTTACAAACTCACAAACTTTACCTCTTTATAATATTAGTATAGAAGACGATTATTGAAGTTTGATGAGAGCAATGCATTAGTTGTAAATGACTAATAAGATATCTAGATGATGATTTAACTTTATCAAATACAGGAATAACGTAATAGAGCTAACAAAATTATAGATGTATAATCTTTTAATCTTGCAAGATATTTTTTTAGTAATATTTCAGCCTAAAGAAAATAATAATAATTTTTAGACCTTATAATAGTTAAATATTTTAATATTAAGTTTAATTATTTAATGCAGGTCTAATCTTCGATGTTACTCTATCCTGGGAGCTATCCTTCTACTTGGCGGGTGGATGGATAATAGTCGCTGGAGTATTAATTTCTTTCATACAACCTGTAAGGAATTATCAACAAGCACGTCAAGCTTTGGACGAATGTGATTCTAGCATGGCTTAAAACTTAATTCTTAACTTTAGTTTAATATTTAATTTAAGTCCTTAATTATTAAATTTTCAAAGTCAAATTCCTTAACATTTTTATTCATTATTTACAAGCAGCTAATGTAAAAATTATTTATCTTCTTCAAAGTTTTGGAAAATTAAAATAGCTCTATATAATACTTGCCTTTTATCACTATTTCCTATATATTGCTGTATTCTAAATTTAATTAAAAATATTTTATACTTAAATAAATACATATTATAAATATAGACACCCATGACTGGGGTACAAACATTCGTGCTTATCACACAAATGAATACTGATAATTACTCGAACCCGCGACCGCTATCACAGCAAGAAGAATCCCTATAAACTAAGCCAAACATGTGGCTTTAAGGTAACACAGTATATAGTGATATGAGAAAGAATGTTTATTATTCTTTTAGTACTAAATTTTAAACAAAAGTATACAATATAAGCAATAGAATTTGGAATTCTATTATATTATGTGTAAGTCTTTTCGATGGTAATATATTTAATAAATATTGTTGTTTCATAAAAAAAAAATTATAAAAAATAATAAGAAATTAGTGCCATACAATTTATAAGAAAATTTGTTCATTGTCATTTACTATTTATAGTACAGGAACCAGTGGTGGATCTCGGATGGTGTTCTGTAACAAAATTAAAATGAACCGGTCAAGTGCGAGTGGACTCGCACATGAAGGGTTTCGTAGCATCGAACAAGATAAAACACTATGTACTTTTTAAATATTTTTGTAAAAGAAATAAGGGAGATGGTATTTATTATTTGTTATTTAGAAATAAACACTCTGTAAAAATTTCAAGACTCTACCTATTACGGTTCATGAGATGCAACTAAAATATAATAAGAATATTTGCTTCTACACACTAGATCATGGGTTCGAATCTCACTTAGAATAAATATTTATTTCTTTTATCTCCAAGAAAAAACGGGTTATTTAATACTGTGTAAAATTCATCACTGGCTCTTAAAATATAACCAAGTACTTAAAATTAGGTCTTATATTATAAATATTGTGGTATAAGCAAATTACCAGCACAAAGTCAAAACGTTTGTGTTTATTAATACTCAAGTATGTAAAATATTGTAAATTATATATAAATACAGTTATATTTATATACATATATATATATATATATATATATATATATATATATATATATATATATATATATATATATATATATATATATATATATATATATATATTGATTTATGGTTAAATTACTTAAAATTAACTAGTTTTAATTAACTATTGGTTTAATTCCTAGATTTATTAAGTCAATTTATGCAATTTTTCTTATAAAAAACATACGTTGTTATTATAATCTCTATATGCAATTATCTCTACATTTTACTTCAATTAAAAAAAAATATATTTCATGTTTTTTTTATTTCATTTACTTAATATCGTTTTAAAATTATTGTTTGTTTTAGAAAAATTTAACGATTTAGCGGATTGTAATTTGATGAGCTTGGCTTTTGGCTTGGCATTGCTGTAACTCTTAAACTATTTATTTTATTAAAAAATATTTCCGACATAAATTGCAGAAAATTTCATGCCTTATAATTTTTGTAATAACAATTTATTCTTGAAAAACTGGTTTTAGTACCATTTTTCCCATAATATGGCGGCACGAGCGGCGGTCGCTCAAGGTCGCAAATTCGAAATATTAATTAGGACACCGAACTGTAACACTGCCAAATTAGAGCTGTCCTTGACCTTTTGTAGCGAAAGCCTCCTTTTTATGTCTTCATTGACTGCACTATCATGATTCAAAATAATAGCTTTTTAAATATTTTAAATATTATAAAGAGGAAAATTTATTTTTTTATTTGTTTGTTTGTATCGAATAGGCTCCGAAACTACTGAACCGATTTAGATGAAATTTGGTAAGAAGATAGTGTGAGACCCTGGGAAGGACATAGTTTTTATCCCGGAAATCATCACTTAAGGGGGTGAAAATGGAGTGTGTGTGTGTGAGTTTGTATGGGGAAGCAATCCAGTTAGTATAGAAATAAGCTGATTGCTTGATTGTCAATATTAAATTTGAAAATAAACGTTTACTACATCAAACCCTACAAATAATAGTGCATAATATATACGAGTATTACGTATTCAAAAATAATAATAATTAGTATTCATAATTACTTATACATTTCTGGGCGGAGGCAAACACTTAAAGATGTCGTTCTTGCCTCTGATCTCACACCTTTCGTCTCTTATTACCATCTGGAATGCAATTAAAAGAAATATGGGAGTCAACGAATACGTCCCGCACAGTTGGCTAGACTCGGTAAGATTGACCGATCCAAATTAATTAGGAATATAATATTATTACTAGCCACTCACCCTGGCTCCGCTTGGGTTCGTCCCTACTTACTTTTTAATGGTTAGTATAGATTTCTCAGAGATGAGATATTTTCCCGCAGTAAAAAGTATCCTATATGCCCATGGTTGATCCAGCTATCATCATACCAAATTTCATTAAAATCCGTCTATTTAGTGGTTTTCTCGTGATGCGTTCTGAGACAGGTAGACAGATAAAAATTCTAAAAACTAGATTCGGCCTCTGTATCGATAATAATGACTATTTCAATAAGATTTTCCAAAAAATATTTAATGTTACAATTTTTAGTATATGTATAAAATATAGATTATGACTATCTTTGCAATATTATTCAACGTGCATTGTTATTGGAATGACTACCTGACACTTTAGAAACAGAAAAATGAAATATAAAGCTCGGTTTCGTGTATCTGGACAACCAGCAGCGTTTATAATCACTGTACTCATATGCTTAAGAAAACTGTGTATTTTATACCCAAATACTCGTATAAGAAGTTTAGTTTATTTTATACTACCATTTTAAAGAGCCACTTTTATTTAAAGAAACACATTAATACTATGATTCGTTGCTGCTATATAAAGAACAACCTAGCAAACATATTGTTATTTACATGAAAATATCAGAGGTGCGAGACCCGGGATTTGAACCCGTTTCACTCAGTTTCCCAAGCGAGCGCGTTACCACTGGGCTACCACTGCCTTACTTAATAGGTATATTACAGTTGGTTAAACGCGTGTTCTTTTTTTGTTAAAATTTTAATTTAATTTATAATTATAGTTAAAAGTATAATGTCGGATTTGATGGGTAATCGGTAGATGTACCTATGTTTTTTTATGTGAGAAAAAGAATAAGTACCTATAGAAATGATCGTGAAATAAAATTCTAGATCTCGATAAAAGCACCATCTACCGGATCCAACTACAGCTAAGAACTATCCAGATATCAAAAGTAAGCCAAAAATTTCATCAATATCGGTCAAGCAGCAGTCAAGGTGAATTATGATATGGACACACGCATACCTGAATTTAATATATACAACTGTTTATGACAAATGGCGTGTGTTATGATTTTGCGTCACGTAACATTTTTCTGTAGGTTATAAACCGTAGATTACGCTTATTTAATGACCATGGGTGGGAAATGGACTACGAAAATGTGATGGAGGCCACCAACTAAAATTTATTTCGGGCTCTCTTTATATTAATTATAATTATATTATAGGGTATGTATACAACTTCCTTTTTGAATCGGATATTATTCAACTTTTAAAAAAATTTCGTGGGACCCTATTTTTTTTCTAAAATAAAATAGCCTAACTTACTTCTTATTACATCAGCTATTATTTTTTTAATTTTTTAGTACATTTTTTTGATGTATATCTTAAGGTTTATCCAGCTTTAACAATTAAACATGCAAATTTCTAACGACGACTCGACAGAACCAGTTATTGTGTTTTCCCGAGACAAACACGCAAACAGACAAAAAAATAATAACTATTGTCATGGGCTCTATATTCTATACACAATACGTTACAGGCACTGTTTTTAATAAATATTTCATTACAGATTTCGCTTAATTACCATTTTATTATAGATACCTACAATCAATATAGAAAAAAATACAAGATACTCTCAATACCAATCCAATGTTTCCCAGTACATTTTTAATAATATTTTAGTAATTATCATATGTGAGAAGGTATTATAAAATTTTTTTTGTAATAAGCATCATTCAAAGTTGATATTTCGTGCAGAGATTATATTATTCCTAAGAATCTCATAGAAGCTGAGCGTCTAACCCAGTTTTTTTATGGTTTCTGTTGACCCTTGACCTATGCAATAATCATGTAAATGTAAGTACTGGAAATAACAGCCGTTAGGTACCTAATTGAGTTTGTTTATGTAAATCTACCTGTCAAGTCTGATTTCCAGCAGCAGATTCTGAAGGTTCTGGGTTCGAGTCCTGGGTCGGCCCAAGATTTCTTATTAGGGTTTTCTGTTAGGAAATTCCCAATAACCGCTCCCAATAACAGTAAGTGAGTTGGCATTGCTAAATACCTGTTCTCATCTAAAGACATCGGTCCTGCGCCTGTTCTGTCACCAATCTCGAAAATTTATGTTTTAGTAGTAATACAAGTAAAAAAGATTGTAATTTAATTATCAATACATTAATACTACTATTTTAAGCTAGTTTCCTTTTTTTATATAAAAATCGAATCTACTTACTTCATCAATTTCTATCAACTTTTCCTTCAGTGATTTGTCAATGTTAATTAATTGTTACAAGGCATTATATTGTTACCATCCAGGATAACCTTTTGAACTCAATATCTTACAATTTTATTTTAACATTATAGACTGCTTTATTGTATGACCTTCACCTTCCCTGTCAGGATAAGAAATTCAATATTTCAAACACATGTTGAGTATTTCTCGTGTTATACGTTACTCCGCACGCGTTGTTCATTTATGCATTACTAGTGGCTCACCCTTGCTTCGCTCGGGTTCGCCTCTAGGAAAACCAAAACAAATCTCTATCCCACGGGAGACGTACATTTTTCCGGGATAAAAAGTAGCCTATGTATTATTCTGATCTATGAGCTATATTATTGTAA